TTGTCAGACAGCAAGCTGACCTGCTTTCCTCCCTCCATCTCTCAATGCTGGAGACATTTTAAAGTCTTGCTGTAACGGTCGTTTTTGAGGAGAGAGGGAGAATGTGGCCCACAGTACAATGAGGATGCACTGTCGGCACTCCCCATCTCCAATCACCCCTTGTCCCACTTCAATGACTAATTTCTCTACAGACGTGCACCATGGGAGATGTAGTTTATCTTCATCGATGGGGCTCTTGTCTCCGGTCGTGCACTCTGCTACTCAGCGAGTGGAAACGATGCCTCCTTAGGCTTCTTTGGTTTCTTATTCAGGGCATGGTTTATGACATGTTTTATTCAGTTTTGTGTTGATTAAATGACTACATATTAAATTACTGTGAACAACGGTCTTAAAAGCAAAATTATCGTATTGTTAAAGATATGGGACACGTACTCAATGAAATTAATACATTTGCCAGCCTGTGCCAAAACAGAAAGCATTTTGAAACGTTTTATGGCAGGTTCAGGCCATAATTCCTATTTAATTCCAAACCTCCTTAAAAAAAAAACTCCTTATTTTACACTTCCATCTCTTCCCATGGTCTAAATCAAGGGTCGGCAACAGGCCAAAACCGCCCTGCTAGTTCTTTTAATTTTATGAATTTTTTTGGTGGCCCCCCCCCCCTAAGTTTTTAGTAAACACTAAATTATAACAGCAAAAAAACATTTAGGAAATCTGTTCCCAAGTATCCCCACAAATAAAGAGCTGTGATTGGTATCAAGGTATGAAAAGGTTATTTTCAAATACAATCTCTGTTTGGTAGTGCTGAGCTTTTTGAGGTCGGTTCAGTTTCAATATTTTTTAAAACATTAAATGCTCTATGCATTATGTGGGTTGAATGCTGTAAACAACACAGAATAAAACAATTAATAAAAGTCCCATGATGGTAGTGACTGCCCATTACTACTTATTAACTATTTATTCACATTACTTTACTTTAATAAAATATTTCAGTTGTGTATATTACATGTATTTTATTTGATGACTATTATTTCATTCCAAGTCATCTCATCTCTATAGAGCTTCTGCCTGTGCTGTCTGACAAAATTACTATTTTTTTATTTTTAAGTAAATAAGGCATACGTTTATGACTTTATTTTCAAGTAGAGAGCAGTTGCTTCGGGAGTTCTCTTTCGATCACGCATTCTTCTGTTTTTTTCGTAGGAGGGTAAAAAACACAGACTGGACAATGGATTATGGTCTTTGTAGTTAATTACCACGTTTTCCTACTACATCACACAGTTCGTGCTTGATTGAATTTATCTCTAGAGAAACTGTGTATTGTGCACATTGAGTGCACAAATAAATGATTGAACCGATGTTAGTCAATTAGTTGTTTAAAAACCAAAAAATAACTGACATTTCGGTTAATCGCTCAGTACTGCTGTTTGGGCTTAATTATGGTCAATTTGCAGTGTACAAATTATTATAAATATGTTCCAGCCCCCCGACTATTTGCTCCGATTAAAAATCGGCCTGCGGCTGAATCTAGTTGCCTACCCCCTGGTGTTAAATGCACCTGTCCTGTATCCTGTCTTATTCCACACAGAGGCAGACTATTCTCTCTGAACCCTCTGAACCCAGCTGCTGACAGAGTATTTTTTTCCCCATCCTCAAAATAGATTCTCCATCTCTTCCCCTTCCTGCTCTCTCTCCCTCTCTCTCTCTCGCTCCCTCCTCCCGTCTCTCTCCTGTTTTCTCTCCTCTTCCTCTAACACATTGACTCTAAAAATACTCTTCTTTCTACACTCCTCTCTCCCCGACAGGTGGAATCCGGGTTCTTCCATGAGAGTGATGCTAAGATCGTGGGGAAGTCTATCCGAGACCGTGTAGCGCTGATCAAATGGAGGAGGGAGAGGACCGTATCGGCCGGACCCCCAGTGGGCCAGGGAGAGGCAGGACTCGGGGCCCAGGCAGCCCCAGCCCAGGGGGCCTCTGCTGGGGCTACGCAAGCAGGACAGCCCCCTCTGCTGGAGCCTGAGGAGCCAGAGGCAGACCAGCACGCCAGGCTGTGTAACCTTCCGGCCAGCGCCACCTCTGTCACATGTGAGACACCACTGACATGAAACGTGTGAAACCCCACAAGACTTACACCTCCCCCTGTCACATACACATACATTTGACACCGTGCTCTCTGTTTGTGTCACGCGGTGGAATTGGTCTTTGACAGTAGAGTTTGTATTATACGGTGGTTTGTGCTTGTTTACAGTGGGGGAAAAAAGTATTTAGTCAGCCACCAATTGTGCAAGTTCTCCCACTTAAAAAGATGAGAGGCCTGTAATTTTCATCATAGGTACACGTCAACTATGACAGACAAAATTAGGGGAAAAAATCCAGAAAATCACATTGTAGGATTTTTTATGAATTTATTTGCAAATTATGGTGGAAAATAAGTATTTGGTCAATAACAAAAGTTTCTCAATACTTTGTTATATACCATTTGTTGGCAATGACACAGGTCAAACGTTTTCTGTAAGTCTTCACAAGGTTTTCACACACTGTTGCTGGTATTTTGGCCCATTCCTCCATGCAGATCTCATCTAGAGCAGTGATGTTTTGGGGCTGTCGCTGGGCAACACGGACTTTCAACTCCCTCCAAAGATTTTCTATGGGGTTGAGACCTGGAGACTGGCTAGGCCACTCCAGGACCTTGAAATGCTTCTTACGAAGCCACTCCTTCGTTGCCCGGGCGGTGTGTTTGGGATCATTGTCATGCTGAAAGACCCAGCCACGTTTCATCTTCAATGCCCTTGCTGATGGAAGGAGGTTTTCACTCAAAATCTCACGATACATGGCCCCATTCATTCTTTCCTTTACACAGATCAGTCGTCCTGGTCCCTTTGCAGAAAAAACAGCCCCAAAGCACCCATGCTTCACAGTAGGTATGGTGTTCTTTGGATGCAACTCGGCATTCTTTGTCCTCCAAACACGACGAGTTGAGTTTTTACCAAAAAGTTCTATTTTGGTTTCATCTGACCATATGACATTCTCCCAATCCTCTTCTGGATCATCCATATGCACTCTAGCAAACTTCAGACGGGCCTGGACATGTACTGGGTTAAGCAGGGGGACACATCTGGCACTGCAGGATTTGAGTCCCTGGCGGCGTAGTGTGTTACTGATGGTAGGCTTTGTTACTTTGGTCCCAGCTCTATGCAGGTCATTCACTAGGTCCCCCCGTGTGTTTCTGGGATTTTTGCTCACCGTTCTTGTGATCATTTTGACCCCACGGGGTGAGATCTTGCGATCTCTCCAGATCGAGGGAGATTATCAGTGGTCTTGTATGTCTTCCATTTCCTAATAATTGCTCCCACAGTTGATTTCTTCAAACCAAGCTGCTTACCTATTGCAGATTCAGTCTTCCCAGCCTGGTGCAGGTCTACAATTTTGTTTCTGGTGTCCTTTGACAGCTCTTTGGTCTTGGCCATAGTGGAGTTTGGAGTGTGACTGTTTGAGGTTGTGGACAGGTGTCTTTTATACTGATAACAAGTTCAAACAGGTGCCATTAATACAGGTAATGAGTGGAGGACAGAGGAGCCTCTTAAAGAAGAAGTTACAGGTCTGTGAGAGCCAGAAATCTTGCTTGTTTGTAGGTGACCAAATACTTATTTTCCACCATAATTTGCAAATAAATTCATTAAAAATCCTACAATGTGATTTTCTGGAGAAAACATTTCTCAATTTGTCTGTCATAGTTGACGTGTACCTATGATGAAAATTACAGGCCTCATCTTTTTAAGTGGGAGAACTTGCACAATTGGTGGCTGACTAAATACTTTTTTTCCCCACTGTATTTGTGTTTGAGTAACCTCTCTCTCGCTGTCACGTTGTACCTTTGACAGTAGAGTTTGTGTGTAAAGACTAACCCCCAATCTTTGTATGTCTGTAGCAGACAGTACGTTTGACAGCGGCCTGGGCTCTGCTGTGTATTCTGACTCCCACAGCAGCCAGCACAATGTCCTCTACCAGTCCCTAGTGGAGCCCATCACCATGGCAATACAGCAGGTCTGTACCACACACACTCAGGGCATGTGCACTATACACAGGGTCATTATCATAAATGTACACCACACATACACGCATAACTAATACACACACACTCACACACAGGACATAACATACATGCACTCTACGCACATTGAGCACGTGCACATACAGTATGTCCTCATTTGCATAGTAATACCCATCACATGCATATGTATGTGGCAAATGCTCACACACGTATGGATCCTCATTGATTTACAAATGTAATAACATAGGCACATTTTATGTTTATGGCCAACCTAAAGATTTACTGCATCTCATTTGCTCAGATTTCTCCAATTAATCTCCATCCTATTCCATTTTCATGTTTTTATTGTGTGTATGTGTTGAATTTTTTTCATCAGTTTTTGGTTGTGGATTGTGTGTAAAGTGTCGTTTTAAGTAACATGTGTTTTGCCTGTGGGTCCCTGTATGGGCTCAGCGTCAGCGACGTGGTCTGTATTTGGCTTCAGCACACCCCCGCTCCTGTGAAAGGGGCGAGGGGTGGAAAGGAGCCCTGGGACCTGAGCTCCGAGTGGGGGCAGGAGCAGCGGCACGGAGAGGGAGTGCATCGGTCATTGACACTCTAAGAGGCAACAAAATCACTCTTCATATGCTCCTGCAACCTCTGACCTCTGGGCCCTGCAGCCCACAGAGAGCTGCCAGTCCCGCCCCCACATCACCAGACAACCAAACAGACAGCAGCCCCTCTGAGTTCCGCTCCGAGGCAGAGGACGGCTTCCCTTCTCCGAGTGCTTTGCCTGCCCCCCTCCTCCTGGCCCCCCCTGCCCCCACACACTATGAGGCTCGACGTCATAGTGACTCTTCTGTGGAATCCCAGACATTGGAAGCCACCAATGCGAGCAGGGTTAAGTCTGTGTCAGGGGGGCGGAGGCACTCAGACCTCGGCACCCTGATGAGTCTAAACTCTGCCCATCATCACCACCAAGGTGTGCCCAGAAAGCACCTCTGCCAGGCCTGCTTGTCTCTGCTGCTGCTGAAGTCACGGGGGGAGGGGCACAAGCAACAGCACATCGCCTTTCCTTTTCCACTACACCCCTGTGGGACGGCGACAACCGCAGGGTCAGGTGGGGTGAAAGGTCAAAGTCACATAGGAAGTGACTGCTCTGACCTCTTCTTACTACAAAAGAACCTGATGAACATCATCAGCCGTAAAACCACCCCATCCAACCAGGGCCAACCCTCCCTCCTCCACCTGCCTGCAGCCCAGCAGCCTGCCCGGAGCTATGGGGATGGGAGTCTGAAGTTACCCCAGAGAGGCAGCTTCAGTGGTGGCCACACAGCACCCCCTCTGGCCAAGCCCACACAGGACCGCAGGGCCAGCTACTGCGCTGGGGAGCACCGAGCTACCGAGCCCCCGGGAGTGGTAGGTCATCTCACAATGGTCTGAAGTGGCTTTTGCTCAGTGTCTTCTTTCCTTCATCTGCACTGAACTAACAAAGGATAGGTGAAAGTAATATGGTGGATGCCAACAACTAATTTGCTTTCACCTGTCCAATTCCTTGATGTCAGTGCAGATGGGGTAAAGCAGGTGAGGAGAGGAAGTTACTTTAGACTATTGAGATAGTCCCCGACCCTCAGCTCAGCCTGTAGAGCTGATTCCTGTAGACTTCACTCTCTGCTTAAACCTGTAGAAGGGGCTCTGTTTTACTGCTGTCATAGGACTGGACCCTGCTCTCTCTTCCGCTCAGCTTCAAACTACCATAGAAGTCCATGGTTCTACTGGTGCGCTTTGGGACAAGCTGGTTCTCTGGAGGACCATAGATACTGCTGACTGACTAACTCTCTAACCCGCTGCCAACTTGAGCTGGCCTGTTAATGTCTTCTCTTTATGCTTTACTGACCGAATGCCAGAACGCAAAACCCATCCTTCTACACCCGCTCATATCACCTTGCCCATGGAAAGTCCTCAGTGAATTAACAGATGGCTGCTGCAAACCAAGGGAATGAATGATGCTGTGTCCCCTCTAACCTCCCATAACCCCTCTTCCCCTTCCCCTACCTCCTTATTGTAGTGCACACCTGCTGCCTCTTCTGTTAACCCTGCCATTGTCTGGGTGTTTTTAAAATTGTTATTTTAATCCTTCAGCCACTCATTATCATTGACATCCTGTGTATTTTGGCTCATATTGGTTTTTCTCTTATAGAGGATGTCTATCTATATTGTTCCAAGTTTGTAGATTCAGATATTTAGATGTATTCATTCATTCAGAAATATTTTACATCACTGTCAAATACAGTAACTTTTAACGGGGGCCTAAAAGCACCCCCAATGTCTCTGTCTGTCCTTTAACAAGTCTCTCTCTCTCTCTCCTCTCAGCCCAGTGCTGTGCACACATTGCTCCAGAACCATGCATCTCTCCAGGGCCAGCCTGCTTCCGCCCCGGCCCTGCACACCCCCCTGCAATACCTCCAGCCTGGCCACAGCTACCCCACCATTCCCCTGGTCACTCAACAGATGCCCACCACAGCCAGCTTCTCAGCTGCAGCTCTGCAGCACACCCCAGCCTCAGCAAGTTACTCGGCATCAAACATGCCTCTGCAACAGAATCATTCTGGACAAAGCTACCCAGCTCCACTTCAGCAACAGACAGCAACAGCAGCAAGTTATACAACTGCAAATGTACCACTTCAACAGCCTGCAGCAAGCTTTTCAGCGACAACCATGCCCCTGCAGCAGCCGCACACAGCAGCAACAATTCCAATCCAGCGGACACCAACTCCACAGAGTTATGTTGCTCCAGCTCTGCAACAGTCGACTCAAACTGCAGCGAGCTACGCAGCTCCAGTGGAGCATCTCCAACAGACTGCACCCACACAGAGCTATGCATCTGTAGCCCCAACTGTGGTCCACACAGTACCTATACCCAGTCTCCCTACTCGGGAACCCAGTGTAGCAACACAGCCTCTAGCTGCTGTTGTGCCTCCCCCAGTCCAGCCTTGCCCAGCCCCACACAGCCTCTCAGACAAAGCCATGCCTCCCATTCTGCAGCCAGGCCAGTCTAGTCCCATGTATCACAGCCAACAGACAGTGCAGGTCCCCATTCAGCAGCAACACAGCCAGCAAATGGCACAGACCACGGTCCAACAGGCTAGTCCCATACATCACAGCCAACAGACTGTCCAGGTCCCCATTCAGCAGCACAGCCAACAGACTGTGCAGGTCCCCCTACCCCAACACAGCCAGCCAATGGCCCAGCCTACTGTCCAACAGGCTCCAGTTGTCCAGCGCTACCAGTCACCTGCCCATACTGTGCAGCAAGGTTCAACCCTCCAGAGTTACCCTACTTCTGTACCCCTGATGGGGCAACAGAACTCTGCTTCACAGAGCTACCCACCCATAGCCCCACAGGCTGCAACGGTGCAAGGCTACACATCACTCCAATCCAGTGTGATGGGTCAGGCCTATCCATCTGCTCTGGCTCCACAGCAGGCCGCAGCCCCACAGACCTACCCAGTGGCCCCCATAGTGCAACAACAGACTGGGACTACTGCTCCTACTGCACAGCACAGCCAGGCCCAGGCAGCCCCACTACCCACAGGCCAGCAGGTGAGGTCAATATGAAGTTGAAGGAGTCTTCAGTAACTTAGCAAGTTGCCCAATTTTCAACCTGACCCCTGCCCTCTGGGCACTTGTGGACAATTGAGAGGATTCAGTGGAGCTGTTCTCTTCATGGAGTGCTTAAGGCTAGGGGTCGATATGTAGTTGAGCAGTAATTACCTCTCCCCGGCCAAAGCTAACCTGATGGAGAGTAACTGCCCAGTACAGTGCTCCCCTTTTTGAGTGAAGTTTCAGTTCTCTGACCCTGTGTTTTCATTTCTCATAGTACCAACTCTATCTCTACAACCCAGCTTTCCTGAACCAGGTAGATCTCCCTTCCTCTCAATACACACTGTCAAAATCACCTGAATAACACTGTCGGAGGGAGAGAAAACAAATACACTGTGCGTCCTTTGTGTCAGATGAACAATGTTTATTTATGACAATACTGTTGTTGGTTTGCCTGTCTGTTTGTTTAGATGCTCCTGGGATGAGGACTTTAGGTTTGTTTAGATGCTCCTGGGATGAGGACGTTAGGTTTGTTTAGGTGCTCCTGGGATGAGGACGTTAGGTTTGTTTAGGTGCTCCTGGGATGAGGACTTTAGGTTTGTTTAGGTGCTCCTGGGATGAGGACGTTAGGTTTGTTTAGGTGCTCCTGGGATGAGGACGTTAGGTTTGTTTAGGTGCTCCTGGGATGAGGACGTTAGGTTTGTTTAGGTGCTCCTGGGATGAGGACGTTAGGTTTGTTTAGATGCTCCTGGGATGAGGACGTTAGGTTTGTTTAGGTGCTCCTGGGATGAGGACGTTAGGTTTGTTTAGGTGCTCCTGGGATGAGGACGTTAGGTTTGTTTAGGTGCTCCTGGGATGAGGACGTTAGGTTTGTTTAGATGCTCCTGGGATGAGGATGTTGGGTCAATCACAGAGCCAGTAGTAGTGGTTTCTTCTGAGCGTGGCCAAACGGAGACATAATGGAAAACTATAATGAAAACAATAATAGTGCCTTTATCCCCGCTGCATCTGCCAGCTCCGCAGTCCCTCAGGCCTGTTCTGTGTCTGTGGAGTGTGCTGCAGTAACAGCCACATATACTGGCTGACTCCAGGCACAAGGACAGGATGGGAAATGTGAGCCTGATTCTGATTCGGGTCAATAGCAGGAAAAGCAGATATCCAATTGAGAGATGTAACCAGAGACTCTCTCTCTCTCTCTCTCTCTCTCTCTCTCTCTCTCGTCTGTCCTGTCTGTCTGTCCTGTCTGTCTGTCTCGTTCTCTCTCTCTCTGTCTGTGTGCCTGTGTGTTTCGTTCTCTCTCTCTCTCTGTCTGTGTGTTTCGTTCTCTCTCTCTCTCTGTCTGTGTGTTTCGTTCTCTCGCGCTCTCTCTGTCTCTCTCTCTCTCTCTCTCTCTCTCTCTCTCTCTGTCTGTCTGTGTCTGTGTGTTTCGTTCTCTCTCTCTCTCTCTCTCTCTGTCTGTCTGTGTGTTTCGTTCTCTCTCTTGTTCGCACTCTCGTACTCTGTCTGTAGAATCTCCCTGCGGGTCAAAGCCTTCCCCAGCACCACCAATCATTATGTAGTCTGCCTGCCCAGGCACTGCCTCCTCAGCAGCCATTGGCTCAGGCCTCTGTCCCTCTGCAGTTGCAGCCACTACAGATGTCCACTTCTCTGCCACCAACACACCTTTCCCAGGTAACCCCTCCCTCTCAATTTCACTGCTACCTGGGATGGATTGTCCTTTATTCACTGTCTCTCTTTTTTTGGTACCATACTGTATGTAGCCAACTCTATGTACGTAGATGTGCTAATTACATTTGGCCACTAAAGTTGATCTTTTTAAACTGTTGACCTCTCAAGCTTAGAGGACTTTGGTTCTTAGTTGAGTATAGCTTGGGGTATCTCTTGCTTTGTGTCTAATGGCATACTATACCCAATATAGTGCAGTGCTTTGGTCAAAAGCTGTGCACTATATTAGGAATATGGTATTTTTTGCAATTTGCCTTTTGCTTGCCTGATCGGTTTGCAGTATAGAACATAATTGGAAATGCTAATGGGTTCCATACTCCAGACCCTGGTGTCTGATTGCTTTCATATTCTACCCTTTTCTTCTCCTCCTCCCAGTTTCCCTCACCGTATCCCAACATCCAAGTGGTGACCTCTCTGGCTGGATGTGACTCCTACCCTCACCCCTGCCCTGTTCCCCAGTCCTACCCCTCCTCCACTGCCCCCTCTCTGCCCCCTCTCTACCTCTCCCCAGGCCAGCCTGCCACTCTGCCCCCCTCTGTCTCGCCCCTCGCCACCCTGCATATAGGGAATGCTCTGGTGCCGCCCACCTCAGTGCCCTTGATACCCTCACCCAAAACCCTGCTGGCCATGGCAGCACCCACACTGCCACAGCACCTGCAGATGTACCCCGCTGTTTTGCAACAGTGTGTTATGCCACATACACAGCCACACACACAGCTCCCCACTCACACACACCCTGACTCACTGCCTGAACAACAGAACACACAACTGCAGAATACACACCACAAGAACCCAAACCCTGCTGCCGTATCCCTACCTGTTCAACACAACACACACCCCACATACTCACACCCTGCCGCTGCACCTGAGCTTGCTCTGCACAGCTCGCAGCCATTAAGACAGGTAAATATGCAGTGCCTTCAGAAGGTATTCATACCCCTTAATGTATTCCACATTTTGTTGTTACAGCCTGAATTCAAAATTGATTAAATATATTTTTTTCTCTCACCCATCTACCCAAATACATACATACCTAATTTGCATAAAGTTTTCACACTCCTGAGTCAATACTTCGTAGAAGAACCTTTGGTAGCGATTACAGCTGTGAGTCTTTCTGGGTAAGTCTCTAAGGGCTTTCCACACCTGGATTGTGCAATGTAAAATTCTTCAAGCTCTGTCAAGTTGGTTGTTGATCATTGCAGCCATTTTCAAGTCTTGCCATAGATTTTCAAGTAGATTTACATTACCAGTCAAAAGTTTTAGAACACCTACTCATTCCAGGTTTTTTCTTTATTTTTACTATTTTCTACATTGTAGAATAATAGTGAAGACATCAAAACTATGAAATAACACATGGAATCATATAGTAACCAAAAAAGTGTTAAACAAATCAAAATATATTTTATATTTGAGATTCTTCAAAGTAGCCACCCTTTGCCTTGCTGACAGCTTTGCACACTCTTGGCATTCTCTCAACCAGCTTCATGAGGTAGTCACCTGGAATGCATTTCAATTAACAGGTGTGCCTTGTTAAAAGTTAATTTGTGGAATTTCTTTCCTTCTGAATGCATTTGAGCCAATCAGTTGTGTTGTGACAAGGTAGGGGGGGTATACAGAAGATAGCCCTATTTGGTAAAAGACCAAGTCCATATTATGGCAAGAACAGCTCAAATAAGCAAAGAGAAACTACAGTCCATCATTACTTTAAGACATGAAGGTCAGTTAATCCGGAAAATTTCAAGAACTTTGAAAGTTTCTTCAAGTGCAGTCGCAAAAACCATCAAGCGCTATGATGAAACTGACTCTCATGAGGACCGCCACAGGAAAGGAAGACCCAGAGTTACCTCTGCTGCAGAGGATAAGTTCATTAGAGTTAACTGCACCTCAGATTGTAGCCCAAATAAATGCTTCACAGAGTTCAAGTAGCAGACACATCTCAACATCAACTGTTCAGAGGAAACTGCGTGAATCAGGCCTTCATGGTCGAATTGCTGCAAAGAAACCACTACTAAAGGACACCAATAAGAAGAAGAGACTTGTTTGGGCCAAGAAACACGAGCAATGGACATTAGACCGGTGGAAATCTATCCTTTGGTCTGATTCCAACCGCTGTGTCTTTGTGAGACGCAGAGTAGGTGAATGGATGATCTCCGCATGTGTGGTTCCCACCGTGAAGCATGGAGGAGGAGGTGTGGTGGTGCTTTACTGGTGACACTGTGATTTATTTAGAATTCAAGGCACACTTAACCAGCATGGCTATCACAGCATACTGCAGCGATACGCCATCCCATCAGGTTTGTGCTTAGTAGGACTATCATTGGTTTTTCAACAGGACAATGACCCAATACACCTCCAGGCTGTGTAAGGGCTATTTGACCAAGAAGGCGAGTGATGGAGTGCTGCATCAGATGACCTGGCCTCCACAATCACCCGACCTCAAAACCCAATTGAGATGGTTTGGGATGAGTTGGACCGCAGAGTGAAGGAAAAGCAGCCAACAAGTGTTCAGCATATGTGGGAACTCCTTCAAGACTGTTGGAAAAGCATTCCTTATGAAGCTGGTTGAGAGAAGGCCAAGAGTGTGCAAAGCTGTCATCAAGGCAAAGGGTGGCTACTTTGAAGAATCTAAATATTTATATTTGATTTGTTTAACACTTTTTGGGTTACTAGATGATTCCATATGTGTTATTTCATAGATTTGATGTCTTCACTATTATTCTACAATGTAGAAAATAGTAAAAATAAAGAAAAACCCTTGAATGAGTAGGTGTGTCCAAACTTTTCACTGGTACTGTAAGTCAAAACTGTATCTCGGCCACTCAGGGACAGTCACTGTCTTCTTGGTAAGCAACTCCAGTGTAGATTAGGCCTTGTGTTTTAGGTTATTGTCCTGCTGGCTGAACTCCAGTGTAGATTTGGCCTTGTGTTTTAGGTTATTGTCCTGCTGAAAGGTGAATTTATCTCCCAGAGTCTGGTGGGAAGCAGACTGAACCAGGTTTTCCTCTAGGATTTTGCCTTTGCTTAGCTTCATTCCGTTTCTTTTTTATCCTGAAAAACTCCCCAGTCCTTAGTGATTACAAGTATACCCATAATATGACTATGCTTGGAAATATGGATGGTGGTACTCAGTAATGTGTTGAATTGTATTTGCCCCAAACATAACATTTGTATTCAGGACAAAAAGTTAATTGCTTTACCACATTTTTTGCAGTATTACTTTAGTGCCTTTTTTCAAACAGGATGATATGTTTTGGAATATGTAACTACAATGTTGTTGATCCATTCTTAGTATTATCCTATCACAGCCATTTAACTCTGTAACTGTTTTAAAGTCACCACTGGCCTCATGGTGAAATCCCTGAGCGGTTTCCTTCCTCTCTGGCAACTGTGTTAGGAGAGACGCCTGTATCTTTGTAGTGACTGGGTGTATTGATAAACCATCAAAAGTGTAAATAATAACTTCACCATGCTCAAAGGCATATTCAATGTATTTTTTTATTTGTATCCATCTACCAATGGATGCTCTTCTTTGCGAGGCATTGGAAAACCTCCCTGGTCTTTGTGGTTGAATCTGTGTTTGAAATTCACAGCTTGATTGCGGGACCTTACAGATCATTGTATGTGTAGGGTACAGAGATGAGGTAGTCATTCAAAAATCATGTTAAACACTATTATTGCACACAGTGAGTCCATGCAACTATTATGACTTGTTAAGCAAATGTTTTATCCTGAACTTATTTAGGCTTGCCATAACAAAGCGGTTGAATAGGTATTGACTTGACATTTTAGCTTTTCATTTTTAATTAACTAATTAAATTTCTAAAAACATAATTCCACTTTGACATTATGGGATATTGTGTGTAGGCCAGTGAAAACAAATCTCAATTTAATCAATTTTATATTCAGGCTGTAACACAACAAAATGTGGAAAAAAATCAAGGGGGTTGAATACTTTCTGAAGGCACTGTAAGAGGGCTGGAATTGAACAAAGGTTTTTGTGGTATAACGGGAGTCGGGAACCGCATCTGTGTTTTTGCATACCTACAGTTGAAGTCGGAAGTTTACATACACCTTCGCCAAATACATTTAAACTCAGTTTTTCACAATTCTTGACATAATCCTAGTAAAAAGTCCCTGTCTTAGGTCAGTTAGGATCACCACTTTATTTTAAGAATGTGAAATGTCAGAATAATAGTAGAGTGATTTATTTCAGCTTTTATTTCTTTCATCACATTCCCAGTGGGTCAGAAGTTTACATACACTCAATTAGTATTTGGTAGCATTGCCTATAAATTGTTTAACTTGGGTCAAACGTTTTGGGTAGCCTTCCACAAGCTTCCCACAATAAGTTGGGGGAATTTTGGCCCATTCCTCCTGACAGAGCTGATATAACTGAGTCAGGTTTGTAGGCCTCCTTGCTCGCACATTCCTTTTCAGTTCTGCCCACACATTTTCTATAGGGCTTTGTGATGGCCACTCCAATACCTTGGCTTTGTTGTCCTTAAGCCATTTTGCCACAACTTTGGAAGTATGCTTGGGGTCATTGTCCATTTGGAAGACCCATTTACGACCAAGCTTTAACTTCCTGACTGATGTCTTGAGATGTTGCTTCAATATATCCACATAATTTTCCTTCCTTATGATGCCATCTATTTTGTGAAGTGCACGAGTCCCTCCTGCAGCAAAGCACCCCCACAGCATGATGCTGCCAGCCCGGTGCTTCACGGTTGGGATGGTGTTCTCCGCCTTGCAAGCTACCCCCCTTTTCCTCCAAACACAATTATGGTCATTATGGCCATAGGACATTTCTCCAAAAAGTAGGATCTTTGTCCCCATGTGCAGTTGCAAACCGTAGTCTGGCTTTTTTTATGGCGGATTTGGAGTAGTGGCTTCTTCCTTGCTGAGCGGCCTTTCAGGTTATGACGATATAGGACTCATTTACTGTGGATATAGATACTTTTGTACCTGTTCCCTCCAGCATCTTCACAAGGTCCTTTGCTGTTGTTCTGGGATTGATTTGCACTTTTCGCACCAAAGTACGTTCATCTCTAGGAGACAGAACGCGTCTCCTTCCTGAGTGGTATGACGGCTGCGTGGTCCCATGGTGTTTATACTTGTGTACTATTGTTTGTACAGATGAATGTGGTACCTTCAGGCGTTTGGAAATTGCTCCGAAGGATGAACCAGACTTGTGGAGGTCTACAATTTATTTTCTGAGGTCTTGGCTGATTTATTTTGATTTTCCCATGATGTCAAGCAAAGAGGCACTGAGTTTGAATGTAGGCCTTGAAATACATCCACAGGTACACCTCCAATTGACTCAAATTACGTCAATTAGCCTATCAGAAGCTTCTAAAGCCATGACATCATTTTCTGGAATTTTCCAAGCTGTTTAAAGGCACAGTCAACTTAGTGTATGTAAACTTCTGACCCACTGGAATTGTGATACAGTGGATTCTAAGTGAAATAATCTGTGTGTAAACAATTGTTTGAAAAATTACTTGTGTCATCCACAAAGTAGATGTCCTAACCGACTTGCCAAAACGAGTTTTAATGACTCCAACCTAAGTGTATGCAAACTTCCGACTTCAACTGTAGCTATTATTTTTGTGTGTATATTTTTGTAGACATGATAATGTGAACGCATGTTCATGTGGCGTCCTCCCCTACTATAATATATTTAGTGTGTTCCCCTCTACCTCAGCAGGTCCAGCAGCAGACCCAGCTTCCAGATCCACTCCCCCCCTCCCAGCCTACCCAGCCTGCAGTTTTCTCCTCTCCCATACATAGTGGGCTGGGCACAGTCACTGTCGCAGCCCAGCTTGACCTGAAGCAGAACGTCAGCCAAACCCAGTCTCAGCTTCAGGCGCAAGGCCACAACCAGAGCCAACCCCAGGTTCCAGTGCCGCAGCCACCTGTCTCCCAGACTGCAGGCCCTGGGCCTGCCATCACCAGCTTGACTCAGCAGAACCAGGCCAGTGCCAGCAGCAGCACAGGGACCACGGTCACCTCGGCACAGCCTCTAACAGAGTCCAATCTGGAGGTATGGAGGACTGACCTGACCTATACGTCCACACCCTAAGCCCTCAAATCTCCCCCCTCTCAGTCCTTCAAATCTCCCTTCTCTCAGCCCCTCCGACCCTCCCTCTACCTGTTCCTCAAACAACATCACCAATATCCCTGCACGCCAAATATCCTCCCCAACCATCCGTTGGTTAAGTTGTGCCTTTTTGGTTGCGTATGCTCCTAAAATATTTTGCTGTGCGACCTGGAATTGTTATTTTGGAGCACCAGTGCACCTAGAAAAAAAATCACCCAGATAATAATTGTTGTAATGATTAGGCTTCGCTGTGCCACTGTTTCCGAGTTCCCTAAAGAAAAAAAGTGCTACAAATAATAGGCTTGTTTCTAGCCCAAAACTTGTCCCATATTATCACGCATAAACCATGACGTGGGCCATTCTAAAACTAATCGCGGGACATTAACCATTTGTTTACACCTTATTCAAATCAAATCAAGTTGTATTTGTCACATGCGCCGAATACAACAGGTGCAGACCTTACAGTAAAATGCTTACTTACAAGACCTAACCAACAATGCAGTTTTAAGATAAATAAGTGTTAAGTAAACAATAGATAAGAAAAAAAGTAAAAGCAGTAAAATAACAGTAACAATAACAGTAGCGAGGCCATATACAGGGGGTACCGGTACAGAGTCAATGTGCGGGGGCACCGGTTATCAGTCATGTTATCTCATTGGCTAACTAGCTAACAACCTGGTAACTTTACCAGTATATCTAAACATTTGGGGGCACAGAATGAAAGGATAGCTTCTTTTCAGGAGATCAATGATCATAGCAAGCTGACAGATCTCTTGCGCGTCGTCACTCTTAAATAGACGGTGTAACATTTTAAATGTAATGCATCTCAATAGGAAATTGTGCTTTTTACACGTTGTAGAAACGTAATATTCCACAACTCTCCCTCATGTCCGTTTCTGACCTAGCTAATAATGACACATTCCATGTTCCCACCCTCTGTTCACAGCATGAACAGCCCTTCATCCTGTTGGACTGACTTTGTTTGTTTTTGTTTTGTCTGCAGGATCCTGGTGCAGAGAAGCAGGCTTCAGGGGCCAGCTACTCCTACGACAGGTAGGATGGCTATCTTCTGATGGCTGTCTGGTGCAGAGATTTGGTGGTGTGGTAGGAGACTTTTTCAGTGATGCCTATCATCCTCCTCTCTCAGGATGAGGGTAATCTAACAACCATGGTAAGAGGTTCGGTGGTGTGCATCAGTGGTAGTTGCTTAGCAACGGGCATCCCAGAGACCTCACTTAGGGTTTTGGTGAGTGCTAGCAGAGAGCGAGTGTTGCCCAGGCTTGTTGTGGTGGTTGATGAATGAGATGAACAGAGGGATTGAGTGTTGTGTACCGCAGGGAATGCAGCCTGGTTTTCTGGGCATGTGTTCTGAGCTGTTCCATTGTCTAGGACTATAGTATATAGGCCTACCAATTTGGCAACGGGGAAATCTGGATACTGTTTCTGCTCCCTAATTGAATTGTTAAGAACTGTGTGTAACAAGACCCTTGTATCGTTTTATGATGAACAATTTCCCTTGAAGCAGAAAGTGTGTGCAGGCTTTCCCTCATTCCACCACCTGGTTTAGTTTTGATTTTGATATGCATAAATCGTTAACTTTTGGTGCACAGCTGACCCTTAAAGTGCATATCGGAGAAGTGTGCACACTGTTCAATGCTCTGGTTTAGTGCAGGATTTTAGGACTGTCTCAACCCATTGCATTTGAGTTTATGCATGAGTTGGTTGATTTTTCCATAACATGGTCTCCCGCTCTTCTGTAACCCAGTGTGAACTCAGATGCCACCTCAGGGAAGGAGATGAGCGACGGTAATGAGGGGACACACGGGTCAGGGAAGGGCGAGGGGAAGGTCCGGAAACCCCACCGCCGCTCCACACGCACCCGCTCACGCCAGGAGAAGATCAACAAGCCCAAACTCAGCATGCTCAACGTGAGTACAGCACACACATACAGAGTCTAGGATCAATCTGCACACCACACATCCATGTCTCTGACCTCTGTTCCTCCCTGGTACAGTTGTGTAATACAGGGGATAAGATGGTGGAGTGTCAGCTGGAGACCCACAATCACAAGATGGTCACCTTCAAGTTTGACCTGGACGGAGACGCACCTGAGGAGATTGCCACTTACATGGTACCATTAGTGGAAACACTTGCAATGGCACATAAGCCATGAGAATTGTGGATAGAAAAAGTATTTGTTCCTTACATACACTTCTACAGGCTTTTGAAACACAAGCACAGACACACTGACTGACACCCCCACACACAAACTTGTGTAGTCCTGAATATCCTTATAAACATCCACTTGTGACGTGGGGCTGCTGCACCTACACAGATGCACAGAGTAGCTCCAAAAAAATTCCACGACGCCCCAGAGCTACCCAAACTGTGTGTGTGCTCTCTCTGCCTGCTAGCTCTTAGTGAGGGAGATGCTCTTTCATGTCTCAAGGCACTGAAACTCCCTATGATGCTGTTCTTTTCCACTGCATTGCAGCAAAATTCTCTCCTCTCTCTCTAAAAATTCCAGCCCTGTTCATTTTTTGTACGTGGATTAATATTTTATTGCACATAATTTTTTTGTTTCATTCCCCCAACATCTATAGAGGTTTCCAAAACTGATGCCTCTGGCCCAGTTTTGGAAAGGCAGGTTTCAAACACTTTTTAGTGACTTATTCAATTCACGTAGGCCTAGTCCAATATTTATCGAAGAAAATAATTTTTATTATCAACTTTTAAGGGGATCTAATACTGACGGATGGTCTCTCTCTCGGTCTGTCAGGTGGAGAATGACTTCATCCTGCTCCTGGAGAAGGAGATGTTTATAGAGCAGCTGAAGGACATTGTGGACAAGGCTGAGGATATGCTGAGTGAAGACACTGAGGGGGAGAGGAGCTCTGACCACGCGGGCAGTCCTCAACAGAGCCACGGAGCAGTCATACTGGGGGGAGAGGTGAGGAGGGGGGGACAGGGGATTTAGGGCTAACAGAGTTGGAGTAAAGGTAATGGTGCAGGATGGGGGAGAGTTGGGGGGATTTGGGGATAACAGAGTTTGGGGGAGAGTTAAGGGTGCAGGATGGGGGGAGATGGCAGGTGGCATCTTTAAAACACTCTCAAGATGACTGTGAGCAGGGCTGCCAACAAACTACTGCCACGATAGAACCGTTGTTGCTGATGAGACACTTTTAGCTAACCTAATTTGTCATTCGGGGGCCAATATGGTGACATTGTTGAGAGAATCCTTTCAAGCTTCATTGTCTAGAAGTTATACTCTTTTAGCACCAGCCATTTATAACGATACTCTCCCTTTCTAGGGTTCAAAGACTGCTACACCTAATTCACCACAGCTTGTTTACCAGCAGAACGGTAAGGCTTCGTTACCTCCTGGCCACATTGTGTGCAGGCTTTTGCTCAAGCCCAGCTGTAACACATCGATTCAGAAAATCAACTAATCATGGTCTTCAAATGAGTTTTAATTATGTATGTTAGAGATAAGCGGGAACAAAATCCCTGCACTCGCTGAGTTCTTCCAGGACCACTAATCTTCTAGCTTATCTCAACCCACTTCAGATGCATTACATAGCACATTACAGCCTCTCTGTGAACCTCAGACACAGCAGATTAGAATGTTCTGGGAGGTTATTGTTGTCAGGAGTGGAGATGATGAGGGTGACTGGTTGTTTCATAGGGACTTCAATCTCTCTTTAGCTCTCAATCGCTCTCTTTCACATCTCTCTGTCCTATCGTCCCTCAGTCCTATCTTTTCATGTCTCCCCCAATCAATCTCTCTATCCCCCCATTCTCTTCCTCTGAACATAATTTGATAGTTGATAGACATTTGTGAGCATCTCTCTTTTTCTCCCTCTATTTGCAGTTAATCTGAATTTGAGTGCATGTTTCTCATTCTCTAACTCTATTCTGTTGCTAGTAGATCTGTGTCTATGAGTGTGTCTTTGTCTCTGTGTACTTGGCAGTCCTCCACACTGGGAAGCGCTGGTTCATTATCTGCCCCGTGGCCGAGACGCCCACGCCAGACAGGGAGAAGACCTCATCAGACACCTCTACAGCCAAGGGTACACACACACACACACACACACACACACACACACACACACACACACCCTGGGTGAATAAAGCAGCATATTAGTGTCTTTGTGTAGTGCTGTGTGTGTCTGTGTGAATGAACTAATGAGTGTGTGTTGTATGTGCTGTGTAGGGGTCAGTTATGTAATGCCAGTGTTGCAGTGGCTCTGAGCTGTGGTGAAGGGCAGGCTTTGTGCTCCAACTGACAGAGCTCTGATGGGGGAAGACAAGTGATGATGTAATACCCTCACACACCCACAGGACATCCATCTCCTTGACGCCACTCTTTTATTTCATCATTTCTCTTTCTTTAACTCCTTCTCTTCTCTCTCTTCCCTGCTCTCTCCGCTACAGAGGCTCCTGTTACGTCATTGTCTAGGTCCAGCTGCAGTACTACTCCTCCTGTTCCTGCCCTGACCACCATAGCCCCTACTCCAGCCCCCTCTGCCCTCCCTGCACCTCAGAGCTCTGCCCAGCCTCAGGGCCCCAATGTGGGCATGGCCAGAATGCAACAGCCCCAGGCCTCTGGAACCAAATCCACCACCACCAATACTACCACTGCTGCCATGGGCCGCCACGCGCCCTGTGTCTCCATGGTAACAGACATCCCATGTTGCCCCATCGTTCCACCTGTGTCCCTGGACGTGAATGGGGCGGGACATAAAGGGGCAAGCGGCACTTCCTCCTGTCTACCCAATCAGGGGGCCAGCCTGTCAGGAGACCCGCCCCCTCCGCTGGGCTCCCACCAACCAGTGGTCTTGCAGCAGCCCTACGCCACACCCAGCATGGTGGGTGGAGGAGGTGGAGCCACAACACCGTCACAGCCCCAGAGTCCCGCCCAGCAGGCCTTCCAGCAGCAGGATGGACCTGGTGGATCCGGGAGTGGAGGTGGTGGGGGCCTGGGGGAGTCTGACGGAGAGGGCCCCCCCAGGGTGGAATTTGTGGACCGCACCATCAAGACTCTGGATGAGAAGCTGAGGAACCTGCTGTACCAGGAGTACGCCCCATCTGCTCCCTCCAGCACTGCCTCAGACCTCCAGGGCTCTAGCACAGAGGGGGTTAGCTCTCCCCCTGTCTCTGACAGCCAGACCACCACAGAGGAGGGGCTCCCCAGGAAGGGAGAGCTGCTGGTAAAGATGCACTGTGTGTGTGCGCATGCGTATTCCGATTAGGGCAGCCGCAGCGTTTGATCTGATGTCTGGGTCTGTGTGTGAATCCCTCATGTGAAATTGATTCAGCCATTGACTGTAATCACTGCCAATTATAACTCTGCCTTTAGTGAGACTGATACTACGTTTAGCAGAGGAAGTAGAGCTCAGGGTTGCTGGCCAGATAATCCATTATACTCTGCACCCATGGCAGTTTGATCTCTGATGGGCCCTGATGCGGGTTGTGTGGGTGGGATGGTAATTGATATATTTAGACACGGCAGGGGTCAGAGAAGGACAATGGCTAGACAAACACCCTGTAACCCTCATATACTATTGACCAAATAGTTTCCCCCCCTTTCTTTCCGCTCTCAGCCTCAGATCCCTGAGCGTACAGATAGTTTGGATACCCTGAGAGACTCTGCAGGTAAATAACATCCCAAAACACACTTTTTATATTAAATTATATTATCCTATGTATTGTGTGTCTATTTGGATTTGTATCCATTTCTGACTATTTAGGGTAGACCCTAAAGTGATTCAAATGTTTTAATGTTTCAATATTTTGTCAAGCCTGTAAAGGAGTGCTGAACAGAATAGACTTTATGGGCAGTTCCAGTTCCTATGGCTCCAAGAGCCGTTTTCAGGTAACTTTCTTCATCTCACTTTACCATAGCTAAACATTCTGAAATGAGAGACAAACTATCTTGAGTAAACCAAAGTTGACTTTTATTTTATTAAATGGAATTATTCTTTTGACGTATGTAATATTGTTCTCAAGATTTAGATCTAGTAAACAATGGAATCAGTTTATTCAATACGATATTAAATATTTAAATAGTTTATTAAGTTTCAATTTGATCATGGTCTTAACTCCACCTCCAGATCGTCCCCACTCCTCCGGATGTCATCCGTCGTTTAGAGAAGGGCAGAAGTCGCAGCACCTGCAGCTCCACGGTTCCCTCTAGTGGCTTGGGGGACTCTCACGCTGCAGCTGAGGGGGAGGGACGGCGAGACCAGGGGTGTTTGGCCGTGGGCAGGTTCTCAGTGATAACCACCGAAGAGGGGCCGGAAAACGCCCCCAAACCTCACTGTAGCCACCGCTACTCAGCCCCCCCAGACTTCTACCAGGACACCTCCAGCCCCAACGCCACCCCCACCCTGCTCCCACGCGCCCGCACTGCTGACGCTGCTACCAACTACTCCTTCCACTTCGACTCTGAGTCGGGGGAGGAGGACACCAGTAGTTTAGCCCCTCCCCCTGCACACCACAAGCCTCCGACCCAAGCACTCTCGGAACACAGCGGAAGTGACCTCATGAAGAGGGCGGTGGCCTTCCTGCGCCGCACGGGCCGCAGCAGCAGTGTGCATAGCTCTGATTCGCCGAGCCGGCAACCCGTGGTAGCGAACGGCCACGCCCTCTCGCCGCCTGGACCCGGCCACGCATCGTATGTCAGCAGTGACAACGATTCTGAGTTTGAGGACGCGGACATGAGGAAGGAGTTGCAGAGGCTGAGGGAAAGGTATGTGAACACACACACACACACACAAACACAAACACAAACACACACACACAAATATGAATTCATACATGCACAGGGTCAATGTTAACCCATGGAAATATAGCAAACTATCAACCACTGTAACCTTCATAGCCCTGGATAGGTTTGTAGCCCATTAAACACTGCAGAGAGGTTTAACTGCTAGTTATTATTATTACTACTAAGTTAGTGACATTTTAAAATTGTACGAGTCAATATAAACAACAGTTCCTCCCCCAGTTGGAGAGAAATGGAAAACATTCTTCTATATTATTGCATGTACATTTTATCTTCCTCCCCAGACACATAAAGGAGATCTCAGAGCTGCAGGCGTTCCAGAGGAGTGAGATAGAGCGTCTGTATAAAGAGCTGGGGAAAGCCCTGCCGCCCGGTTTAGGCCTGCTGCACGCTGCGCCCCCTAGTGGCCGCAGACGCAGGGCCAGTAAACACAAGCTGAAGGCGGGCAAGCTGCTCAACCCCACGGTGCAGCAGCTGAAAAACAACCTGAACGCCACCACTGCCGGTGAGAGGAAAGGTGTGTGTGGATGTGTCAGACTGTGGTAAGAAGAGGGGAGAGAGGTGTGATTGATAGAGGGGGATGAGGATAGGTGTGAGTGAGGAGGGAAAGAGTGAAAAATGTGAGTGTGAGGGGAGCGAGAGAAAGGTGTGTTTGTGAGCAGTCCTGAGAAATGGGAAATGAGTCTTGAGGCAGATTTGGGAGGATTGGAAATGTGGTAATAATAAAGAAAAATGTATCCCCAATTCACCATAAAGCTGGCTCTGTGGCTTATCCAGTATTTCTCTCTGAAGGTGAGAGTGCACCGGGCTTGTCTGGCTCTCCAGCTAAGAGCTCCATTGTGTCTGACGGCTTGGCCCGCTCCAGTGGCAGCAGCAGTAGTACCAGCAGCACTCTGCCCAGCACGGCCCCAGAGCCCGTCCAAACCCAGCAGCCCTGCTCCCTCAAGGGCTCCCTCTCCTCTGACAGCATCTATGGTGGCGGCATGGCCACACACGAAGGCCCAGGGCAAGGTACCTACACATACATAAAGGACAAGGTATACACACTGTGGCATAGCACACACAGTACACATCCACATTGACGAATATCACACACATTTGGTGCATATCCGTACCTAAGAATGCGTCACACACACACACACACACACACACACACAGGATTCAATCAATATACCAAAAGCAAACACGCCCAAACACGTGTCACTCACTGAGGTGTGGACACATACTCAAACACACTCATTTGTCCTGAGGAACACCTGAACAAGACCAACACAAGACCATCAGCTTAATCTGCTGTAGTATTCTAAACTCTAATATTCTAAGCTGCCTAAATCGGAGGTCTCATAAGGGGACATGGTAATTGCTGCATTGCAAATAGTCATGTTTGTCAGTCTTTCATCCAAAGCAAATGTTTTTAGGCAAATATACATAAGGTGAGAGTTGCACCACACATGTCCCCTGCGCCAAAATACTGCCACTTACTGCATGACTGCTGAGGTGTCAATGGAAGCTATATTCAAGCACTGGTCCCAGATCAGTTTAACACTCCTCATGGTAAAGTTCCGGATGGATTGGGGAAAGGTAACCTGCTCTCAGACCAGTGTATAGTGACAACTTGTCCCTATAGTGAATGTGAGGGCGGTCTCCTGTTGCTGGTTTAGCCCATGTGGCTGTACCCTGTACTGGTGCTGCTGCTGTTAGTGGTGGGGGTTTCTCATCCCAAGTCTCTGTGCACTTTTACAGAAGTGTCTCTCTTTGTTTCTTCTCTTCTTCCCTGTTATATTAATTTTGACAGGCTGGACGGTATACCACCAAACATCAGAGAGAGTGACCTATAAATCTAGTAGCAAACCACGTGCTAGATTCCTCAGTGGACCCGTGTCTCTGTCCATCTGTTTGTATTTGTTGTTTTCTACTTTTCCTCACACATCCCATCCCTCTCTCCTCTCTTTATTTCACCTCTTTATCTTTTCTCTCGACCAGATTGTTCTTTTGTATGTTTTTAGATAATGGATCCTCCCCCTTCTTCCTCACGCTCTTCACCACTCCCTGTCCCCAACACAAGCATATGTTGGCCATTTTGTGTCCCTAACACAAGCCAATTTTTGTTTTGTCTTCATAGCTTTCTCCCCTCAGCCATAAGTTGTTTTGGGTTTAGACCTCCCTCCATACAAACGCTTTGTGCACTGCTTTAAACAGACTCCAAAAGCATCCCAGCTAACAACAAATATTCCCACAACTTTAGAGAACCTTCCCTTAAGAGTCTCATTAGGTAATTAACTAACGTTTTCATAGGAATGTTCCTGTGATGTGCAAGGAATATTTCCAAGAGAATATTCCTTTAATGTCAAATAGAACTTACCCCAGAACGTGGTTACCATGTTCTCAGAATATAAGATATTAATGTTCTAGACACGTTAAATGAGTATGTTCCAAGAATATTAATGTGTCCTGTTTTCTGTGGGTTAGGAGAATATTCCATCAACGTCCCACCAAACATACACAGCAACCATGTTCTGTGTATGTTTGATGTGACGTTGATGGAATATTCTCCTAACCCTCACAAAACTGGACACAGGAATGTTCTTGCAACATTCTCATGAAACGTGTCTAGAATATTAATATTGGCAACCATGTTCAGTGTATGTTTGGTGGAACGTTGGAATATTCTCATAACCCTCTGAAAACTGGACACATTAATGTTATTGCAACCTCCCATAAAACACCTCTAGAACATTAATGTTGTATATTCTGACAACATTGAAACCACATTCTAGATAAGTTCTCCTTGACATTAAGGGGATGTTCTAACTTTAACACCAAAACATGGTAAAAAGGTTCTCAGAAGGTTTTTGCTAACATAGTTAAAAGGAACATTCGATCTAACGAAAAACTGGACACTCAAACATTATGGGAACATTATGGGTTACATTACAAAAATATTCTCTCCTCCCTAGAATTGTTAGCTGGGATACTGTATTGTCATAGAGCTAGTCTTCTCCAAACATGGGCGATGCTAGATCCGAAACCTGAGTGAGAGTGTATCCTATGTGTGTGTGTTTTCATTTACTCACTTCCTTAATTATATATCTCGAATTGAGGCGCATCGGCCCACAACCCCTCTGTATACCAAGAGAAAAGCCAGCCCTCCCCCTGATAGCCCAGCCAGGTTCCAGAGAGGCTTGTGTTGGTTGCGGTCCCTCTCTCTGTCTCTCATATTTGGACTGGGAGGACGGTGCATGGTGCAGGCAGGGCACTGATGGAGACTGGCTCCTGCAAAAGGGCTGTATCATCAATATTATCTACTTCCTCCTCCTCTTCTTCTTCTCCCGCTTTACCTGCATGTCTTGATAAGTGCTGACTGATGTGCTCCGGCTATAGTATCTCTGTGCTCTTCAGTTTTGATTTTTTTGGTTCCTTTGTTATGTTTCACAGGCATTGTTGTACTTACTGGTAGTTGAACTGTTTTTAGAAATGAGCTTCAGGGGACTTGTTACTCAAGTAATTACAGTATTGATGATTCTGTGATTCAGCTCTCTACTCATCCAAAATATATATGAGAACAGCATAGCTTTACTATCAACACTGCATTGTAGAGTTGTATTTTCCATTGTAACCTTTAACATACCATGTAAAAATGTAAATAATACAAGCCTGGAGCCTAAAATATTGACAGTATTACTGAAACAATGACTTATTCCAAGTAAGTTTAAAGAAAAGTTTGAGACATGACAATAGGACAGGACAAGGATACTAGGAGCATAGAATGTGAAGGTCTGTTCAGGTACAGTGTTGACCTGCCCCACCTTACTGTGGACCAGTCTTCTTTAAACCCCCTGTACTGTACTCTACCACCATACCCAGGGCCTAGATCTCTCTTTCTGTTCTGTGCCTCGTTTATTTTATTTCCGTTAATGTTTTGGAATGACCGCACAATTGAATAGGAGCTAGTCTTTCCCCCACTCCCATTATGTCTCACTGATTTTAAACCCCCTTCTCCTTCTCTCCTCTCCACTCCTTTCTTCCTCTCCTCTCTCTCCCTAACTGATTTGATAGCTGTGTGTGGCTTTGAAGCAGCTTGTCCAGAGACCTGTGGTGTTTAGTGTGTCCCGGCCTAACTGTTTCTGTCTCTGTGCTGTTTTACCTTCTTATAGGGTCCACACTGAAACGACTATGTCTAGGCAAAGAGCGCAGTAGTAGTAACTATCTCATTTACTTTCTTCTTTCTCTGTCTTCGCTCTTTTTTTCTGTTTGCATGAGCACCCGTTTATATTCACGTGTTGAGTTTGGCACCGGAAATAAAACATGGCAGATGTTGTTGAAAATGTTGGGCACTGTTGCACAAGGAGTGTCACCATAGATTGATTTGAATCGTTTTTTGTATTTGGTAGTGCATGGCAGTGTTTGGCCTAAATGTCAGTGCGCTGAACAATGTGACTTGGTTGTTTGTATTAGCGTTAATGGTTTCTGTTTGTCTTACTGTGGTGGATCGGTTGGGTGGGTGGGTGGTTGGGATTCAACCATGCTGTAATCCTTTGGCTGCTAGGTTTGAGGAAAGAAATAACATTTGCTGACCAGTAAAATGAGATCACATTTCAACTTTCTCCAGAAAACGATTACCAATCAAAGGGACCTTTTTGAGGTCCACTGAAAAACAAAGAAACCAATTGTAGTTGGCCTATTTGATATTTGAGTAAATATACAGGCTGAAGGTAGTTAAAAGTGCCATAATGGACAACTGTAAAAGGCCTAACAAACAGCAGCCAATCGATTCCATCAGTAGGGTCTAACTGGGCAGAGTTTACAAATATTTCTGTTCTAGGGTCTTCTCACGGCGCCAGTGCAACTCAGACAGTGTCCAATCAGCAACAGCCACCAGCTGTTCCCACCCCTTCATCATCTCCTCAACCAATGGCGGCGCTAGCTCAGGTCCAGACGAACAACAGCAACAACAAGAAGCCAGGCACCTTCACGGATGACCTGCACAAGCTGGTAGATGATTGGACGAAGGAGACGCTGGCGGCCAATCAGCCACGGCCCTCTCTGAACCAGATCAAACAGCAGAGACGCAGGCAGGACCTGGAGGTCCGAGCCACGCCCCTGGGAGGAGCCACACAGGAGGTAAATGGCATAGAAAAACACATCAAAAGTCTGAAGAAGAGTATCACCAGTGTGATAAAACACTTTTGGAAGTTGCAGCTTACCTCGCTCTCTTTTACATTTTCATGCGAAAAACAGTTGACAAAAGTCCATGTACACAATGTTAAACATCCCCTTTTGGTTCTTCCAGGTGAGATGTGCCATCCTTCCAAACAAGTTCCAGCTGCCTCTGTCCTGCCCGCTGACAGCTGTAGGCCCAGCCATGCCCACTGACCTGGGCTCCAACCCCTCTGCCATGCTCCAGCCCGGGTACCTGGTACCAGCAGGTCCTTTTGGAGGGGTTGTGCCCGGCCCCCTGTACCCCCAGCAGTGGTCTAGTATGTCCAGCCCTGTGGGGATGATGGGGGCAACGGGAGGGATGCCCTACCCCACCATGGCCAACCCAGGGTTGCAGGCATACCCCCTTACCCTGCACAGCCCTGAGAACGGCCTTAACACCAGGACTACCTAATGTGACAGACAGCACTTTCCTGCACCGAGTAAACCCCCACCCCATCGCACCTGACGCTTAAAACAGACTGCCCCCGACTTTCCCCTCTATCCCAGCACCCTCACATCAGGACTGTCTAACTAACAGGTCTTACCTAATTCTGTGCTGATAACCTAACTCCACTCTGTCCCCCCTGGTTCTCACTCAAGGGTTACAATTGTAATGAAATCAAACTCTAATCACTTTTAATGGGGTGATGGGCCAGAAAATAGAATAAAGTAGGGTCTACACATTTAGATGCACCAACAAATGGCTTATGGGTCGTTCCACCTCAAAGCACAAGAAAGAGGATTTCGACAACCACCATCTCAGATTGTGCTAAAATAATTTATGTAGTTAGAAACGGATAAGATTAGCATTCCTGAAACATTTAGTTGAAGTATAATTTGATCTCTGAGAAATTAAGCTAATTAATTGCACACAAATTGGCCATTTTAATGTATAGGATTAATATCATCTTCAATAAATATAGGAGCTAACATCTGATTTGGACCATAATTATTCCTAACAATGAGTTAGACATGAGGAATCCAATAAGATTATCGAAGGCCACCCACGGACCCCCCACATCCCACCCCAACAACCAGTATACCCTATCAGTTCTCTATGTCTGACAAGTAGTATGGAGCTGTGGCTTGGATTATTGCTTCTTCATCCTATGTAATTTATTATTCCCTGTGAATCTATTGTTTTTTTCCCCTGCAGAGAAATGTGCCTTTTGAAGTTGCCTGCATTATTTACCATAAATTAGTGTGAAAGTACCAGGTTTTGCTCTCTAGATCCAACTGTTCCTGTTACAGCCACACCCTTTTATCAATTTCACTGGTATTTAGTGTTTATTAAAAGGATCACAACATTTTCTTTGCAACTTTGGGTAGAAAACCAAAAGCTTTTGCTTATGATGAAAATAAATTATGTGGTCATCCTCACAATTCAAGCCAGTCCTCCATGAAAGCAATTCAGTTTGTCCTTGTTTTCGGCTTAATATGTGTCCAGGAAACGGCACCTCAGTGTGTGGTTTATTCCCTTCCAAAAAGGTCTGGATTAGTTACTTGTGAACAAGCAAACCATTAGGCTACAGCAGTTGTAAAGGATTTCAATGTTATGGTCTCTAATGGTCTTCAATAGTAAAAGTGCCAAACACACTGTATAGTGTTTTGCAATGTTAATGGTGTTGCATTTAATGGAAATGTCACTTATCACACTACATATAGAGATGTTTTCTAATAATTGTATTGAAAAGCATACGACTGCCATGCAATGGTTTATAATTGTATTATTTTATTAGAGTTGTGACATTTGTCACTAGACCATTTCTCCATCAGTTTCTGCCTTGTAGGAAAAGTCTTCATATGAGAATTGCACCACAGGGATAGCCCTCTGAGAGCTGACATTTGTTGGACTATTTAAGGAGAGCTTGGTTGAAGCATTAGGTTGCTGAGAGAAAGACAAACTGAATTGCTTTCATGGAGGACTGGCTTGACTTATTTTCATCATGAGCAAAAGCTGTTGGTTTTCTATCTAAAGTTGCAAAGAAAATGTTGTGATCCATTTTATAAAAACAAGACACCAGAAAATTGATAAAAGGGTGTGGCAGGAGCAGGAATAGTGGCATCTAGTGGGCAAAACCTGGTACTTTCACACTAATTTATTACATTTACATTTTAGTCATTTAGCAGACGCTCTTATCCAGAGCGACTTACAGTTAGTGAGTGCATACATTAAAAAAAAATTTTTTTTCTCATACTGGCCCCCTGTGGGAATCGAACCCACAACCCTGGCGTTGCAAGCGCCATGCTCTACCAACTTAGCTACACGGGGCCCATGGTAAATAATGCAAGCAATGGCTAATTTCTCTGCAGGGAAAAAAACCCACCAGATTCACAGGGAATACATTACATAGGATGAAGAAGCAATACTCCAAGCCGCAGCTCAATACTACTTGTCAGACATAGAGAACTGATGCTGTATACTGGGTGGGATTGGTGTGGGGGGTCTGTGGGTAGCTTTTGACCATTTTATTGGATTCCTCATGTCTTACTCAAGACGTTTGACCCAAATCGGATGTTGGGTACTATGTATTGAATATTATGTGAATCCTATAAATTAAAAGGGCCAATTTGGGTGTAATCAATTAGCTTAATTTCTCAGAAATTTCAACAAAGTTGCAGGAATGCCAATCTTATCTGTTTCTAACTACAGAAACGATTTCAGAACAATCTGAGATAATGGTGTCATGGCTTTGCTGAAATGACATAGAACGACTCTTATGTGTTGGAGTACACATAAGTGTGTCTGAATACTGGCCCCTACTTGACTGTACTACTCAACCCCTCCAGTGTTCCTATATGCAGGATAGTCCTGCCGCACTCTGCTCTGATTATCTGGTCTGATGCTTTATCAAAGAGCAACATGCATGTACATAACCTGTGAGCTTGTAAATCTCCAGTGTGCTGGTAGATATACTTTATACAGCACCTGAAGTTTTCCTGTGCGTGCGTGCGCACAGTATAAATGTCCTTTAGTGTGTGTGTCGGAGTACCTACTGCTTTTGGCTTTGGTCTTGACTTAACTCACAGCCATACAAATAATATTAGCAGTCACCAATATGATGTTTTCACCAAATCCGTCATAACCAATAAGCAGTCATGTTTTCAGATTGCTTTTTATCGTTTACTAACAATTTGTCAACCTTAATACACTACATTAGAAATCAAAATACAAGGGTTTAAGATGACAGGATACCTGTATTTAAGGTGAAGTTCTCTGGAGGAGTGTAGTGCCTTGAACATTGTTTTTTCTGTGAAACGAAGCATGTCCAAATACAATAGATTTTATTTCATGGTGGCTCGAGTGCCACTTCTGAATTGCAGACACTTTTTATTTTCTTGTTGGTTTACATTTGAATGCCCTTATAGCGCTGCACTATTAACACAGTATAAGCTTTTATTTGAGTAATAAAATCATGTTTTTAATCTTTGTTTACTCCACCCCTGTGAAATTTAGAACGCCATAGAGGTGAAATGTACAGTTGCCTTGTGAGAACAGGCAGTTGATGTAGCTACAGTTAATAAAAGAGAGTAAAACATAAAATAAAAGTCAAAACCCACTCATTGGGCAATGGGTAGTGTCATAGGCATAGTTAGAATTCCTAGAATTAACATTCCTATTCAAGTCAACGTTCCCCAATGGATGGACAAATTGAATTCTCATTCTATATTTGTAGGTCTGTTTTTTGAGGGGAGCCAGTAGTGTCCAGCTCAGAATGTAGCAGAGAGGCAGGTTTGCCGAGCAAGTCTTAAAGTGCAATTTCACCCATCCACCTAGCTTTCGTAGTGGCCTTGCCACAAGCCTTACCCAGGAACCTGCAACGGGAGCTAGTTTCTTTTGTTGCCTTTTTAGTTCAACGTAAGTTACAAATCACAAAGAAAACACTAACAGCATTTACAACTGCAAAATATTTTCTGTTGGGCCAAGAACATGGCTCTCCTATTATTATGCACATCATGTGATTTATTTAGTGCAATCGCCAGTTATTATTTACTTGTCTAAAGTATTGTCATTGTTTTGTGTTTCTTGAGCTTGATGTCAATGCTGCTAGTGTGTCTGTGGTGGATCCATTAAGTAGGAAAGGAGTTGTTAGGATGTGTGTTATCTGGTCGTGGTACTTGATAACACGACACACAAGATAATACGCATCCCTCCAGTAATAAATACAATTTTCAGATGGTGAGTTTTCTCAATAAGATGTTCATGTGAAGCAGTGTTATTATATTGCCTTGTTGAAATTATTAATAAACTATGTATCATTTCCCAGGTGGTTGTTGATGATACCCTGGCTTTCTTTTCTTTGTTTATGGTTTTGAGTGTTTGATTCCTCTGTTCAGAATGAAACATGCTAAATGCAGATGGATACTTGATTGGGGAGAATTGCACATGGCATGACCTGTGTTCTAACCATAGACTGTATAAAATGGGTTCCAACCTGTAAAAATATGATGATAATAAAAATAATATATGCCATTTACAGACGCTTTTATCCAAACCAACTAAGTCATGCGCGCATACATTTTTATGTATGAGTGGTCCCGGGAATCGAACCCACTATACCTGTACATAATGGGATGAACCTCCCCCTTATCCTCCTGACTACTGAAGAGCAGTCCAACTGTTCAAATATTTTCCATTCAGCAAGATTATTATACTGCCTGTTAGAAATCTCACAACCATCACACCAGTTAAAGGTTGCAGCACTCCAGTCCTGCCAAGCTGTGAATTGTACAGTTTTCCTGTAATTAGTATTTCTACATTTTCTTTGTCTGTTTTGGGATTTCACATCAGTGTTTGTTATTCCATCAATTCGGTTTGAATTGGACTTTTATAGGATATTATGCAGAGTCTTCTGCTTTGGTGAAATACTTCTAGTAGTGAGAGATTTCTGTTCTCTGTTCTCTGTTACTTGTATCTGACAGTAATGCTACACCTCCCTGTCTGTTATGCTTAGTGAGCAGATTTGGGAATACCTCTGTTGGAATATTCACTGGGAGGCAACATTCAGATCCATAGAAATGGATTGTATAGAGCAGATACGATTATCTGAGGAATAGAGAACTGTGCCTCTTCTGATCATTGCTTTCTATCAGTTCTGAGCAACATTGCCTCCTATTGAATATGCCCCCCCCCCCCCCCCATTGAAGGCTTGCAATAAAGCTCTGCGTGGGATTGCGTCTGCCTGCTGTGCATTTCCCACTATATTACCTTACCAACCCAGTCAGCCGCACTCTAATCACAAAGACTGTACCTGTTTAAAGAGAAATAAACATTATTTTGTGCTTGATGATGTCTCCTCCTTTATTCCTCTAGAATCTATATCTATTAAATTTAACTCTTTCAGGCTGTTTTTATTGAGTAAAGATTAATCCTATATTACTGTACAGATGTGATCAATTATTGCGTTCCCTTCTTACCCTCCATCATTAACACTTTATTGGGGAAAATGCACTATGTTATGCGCATTGCTTATTTTCACAGGTTCTGGGTGGTGATTTGTCCATCTGACGCACCAGCCGTTTTCGTCTGCATTGTGTAAACCATTCCACTTCAAATCCTTGACCAATGACTTCAATTCATTGATGTTAATTACACTGAACAAAAATATAAATGCAACATGCAGCAATTTCAAAGATTTTACTCCGTTACAGTACATATAAGGAAATCAGTCAATTGAAATGAATTCATTAGGCAATAATGTAAGGATTTCACATTACTGGAAATACAGATATGCATCTGTTTGTCACAGATACCTTAAAAAAATAAAAGGTAGGGGTGTGGACCAGAAAACCAGTCTGTATCTGGTGTGACCACCATTTGCCTCCTGCAGCGCGATACATCTCCTTCGCATAGAGTTGATCAGGCTGTTGATTGTGGCCTGTGGAATGTTGTCCCACTCCTCTGTGCGAAGTTGCTGGATATTGGCGGGAACTGGAACATGCTGTCGTACACATCAATCCAGAGCATCCCAAACGTGCTCATTGGGTGACATGTCTGGTGAGTATGCAGCCATGGAAGAACTAGGACATTTTTAGCTTCCAGGAATTCTCTAAAACAACGTTGGAGGCGGCTTATGGTAGAGAAATAAACATTCAATTTTCTGACAACAGCTCTGGTGGACATTCCTGCAGTCAGCATGCCAATTTCATGCTCCCTCAAAACTTGAGACATCTGTGGTATTGTATTGTGTGACAAAACTGCACATTTTAGAGTGGCCTTTTATTGTCCCGAGCACAAGGTGCACCTGTGTAATGATCATGCTGTTTAATAAGCTTCTTGATATGCCATACCTGTCAGGTGGATGTATTATCTTGGCAAAGGAGAAATGCTCACTAACAGGGATGTAAACAAATGTGTGCACAACATTTGAGAGAAATAAGCTTGCATATGGAAAAGTTCTGGGATCTTTTATTTCAGCTCATGAAACATGGGACCAACACTTTACATTTATTTATTTTATTATTATTTTTTTCACCAAAGAAAACAAGTGATAGACACAATACAGATTTTAAAAAATGTAATTACATTTAACGGTGTGCAGGTGTGGTTGGAAGCCTTGTAAAAATCACACCACAAAAAAACTATATCAAATACAAAAATAAATACAATACATCAGTATATTTCTAGGCCTGATTATCTTTCATCTAGAAAAGAAAGAGTGGCGCAGTGGTCAAAGGCACTGCATCGCAGTGCTAGCTGTGCCACTAGAGATCCTGGTTCGAATCCAGGCTCTGTCGTAGCCGGCCGCGACCGGGAGACCCATGGGGCGGCGCAAGGTAGGGGAGAGAATGGCCGGCAGGGATGTAGCTCAGTTGGTAGAGCATGGTGTTTACAACGCCAGGGTTGTGGGTTCGATTCCCACGGGGGGGCAGTATGAAGGGGAAAAAAAATTATATATAATGTATGCCCTCAGTAACTGTAAGTCGCTCTGGATAAGAGCGTCTGCTAAATGACTAAAATGTAAATGAGTCTGTTCAAATTGACCTCCAATGAAAATTCAGTCCACCTCCACTTTTTGATTGTATGACATGTTTTTTGTATTAGCACCATGATAAAATTACATTTGGCCTACATTACTACTGTATAAATGTCAAATTACCGTAATCACAATAGATTATTGGCATTAGGCCTATAACAAACAGACATAGCCTATAGTGAACAATTAAAATCTACATTTGACTGTATAACTATATATATTTTTTTTTTATTCATTTGACAGGCTATAATGATCAAATAATCAATTTCAAACCTACCCGGCACGTTTTCATATTCAAATTTATGGCGCAAACCCTCCATACATGATTCACGTTTCCATATTGGCAGATTCGCAAATTACAAAAATAAAAAAACATAATGATCTTAGACGTTTTCATAAAATGTAATGCAGCCTATTTTATCCGTATGTTTTTCGTCTTTGGACATTCTTTATAGTGCATATTTATCCAGATGTATATTAAAAGATGTGAAACTGATAGTTAGATTCGCCACACAGACAAATAACAACAAAAGGAACCAAATTACATTTAACGGTGAAAATGTGACGCCACTTCACTAGGCGTCCATTGACTTCAGAATTACACCTTCCTCAAACACCAAAGAATGGTACACATCGAAATTAGAGCCTTATTTCGACAAATACACCATAGAACAAATCCTTCTCTATTTGACGAAAGTGCCCACACGCGCCTGTGGCGTACAGCAGTGGCTGCACCTTTTGTTCGCTGGAGTTCCTGAATTATTCCCATCACAATGAAATTACTAGGATATTGTGTTGTTGTGTAAACCATTGACCCCACATTTCTTGTGATTAGATAGGGTTTTATATAATTAATAAATCGATCTGCAATCGTCCCATTTACTGAGCTGTAGTGAGAGATTTTGCAGAACGCAAGCTTGAGGAGCCCTGAGCAGTAAGTGTTTATTAATTCAGAGCTACATTGGCTATGTATTCGTGGTGTCTAGAGAGAAATAGGTTAACATTTGTAAGGTGTTTTATTAATTGTTTTAATTGCAATGTATTTGTGCTTTGATTTATGTTACAATTTGCTTTTCGAATCGTTTCTTATCCTATGTCGCTAGCGACACAAGAAGACCCAGGATTCTGAGTTCTACATTATCATAAGTATGATATATTTATCTTTCCCTGTAAGTAAATGTAATTCCCCTAGAACGACATTGTTGACTAAGGAAATGGTTTTGCTTTAGTTACATTAATAGGTTGCGATCAGGTAACACAGGGTGTTATTTTGTAGTGGCTTGGTTGATCAGGGTGAGGTCTAAACCATGTGGAGGGAAACATTGTATCAAGCTGATACATCATTTGAGCTGTTACATTGTATCACCTCGGGTTGTTGTCACCCGTAAGAATGGTTACAATGTTACTCAGGCTTCTATAGATACACATGTATCATTTTGCTGCAAACTAGCAACAATGGTTGCAATCTAGTGGATATGGCTATCTGGTTGCACTTGCAAGCTAGTTGCTACATATTTCCTTGGATCTTTGAGCACGTGAATAGAACAACATGATATTACGCTATCCAAATGAATACAGGGGCTAAACATTCGATCGATCAAGAGTCATTCATATGATTTATTATCTTATACGTTGATTAGCTTGCCAGAGTTTTATCTGGTACTTCTGGTAAATATGTTTTTCCAGTGAGAGTGGAGGCTATGGGCAGGTGTTTAGAAGTCTGTTTTTTTATTTATATAACGCATCTGGTCGAATCAACCTTGAATTTATCCGTTATCTGTAATCCAACATTCCAAACGTGTAAATTATCTCGGCTGTCAAATCGATCCGGTTACTAACTATCTAGCTAGCTTTTTGTGTCTTCAGTTTAAGATTTTAATCAATATTTTATTCGAAAACATTGTTACTTGTAACGGTAAGTAAGCAGTATGATGAGCAATGTTGCAAGTAAAATATAATTTGCATTGATTTAGCTAGCAAGAAAAATGGTCAGATGCAGCTGTCGTTGCCATGGTAAAGTTGACAGCTATCCAGCCACGTGCCTGCTGTTTGCAGGGTTTTGTTTCCTTGAAATCAGCAAGACAACATGGAATAGCTTTTAGGATTCCAAAGGGCTAAAGGCAATGGACACAACTTTGTTGTTTTCAACATAGACTGACTACTATATTGACATAATACCCACTGGCATGTCTGTGTTTCAATTAATGTTGGAGTGAGAGATGCCAACATTTATTTAGTGCAAATTTACACCCTCCCCCCCTCTGTGTCTCAGATGTAAGCTTGAACAGCTCCTGTCCCAGCAGTGGCCATCGGCACAATGGGGCTGGACTTTGACGTGAAGACTTTCTGCCACAACCTCCGAGCCACCAAGCCCCCTTACGAGTGCCCCGTGGAGACCTGTCGCAAGGTCTACAAGAGCTACAGCGGCATCGAGTACCACCTCTACCACTACGACCATGACAACCCCATGCCCGCACAGGGCATGCCCCAGAAGAAGAGGAAGGGGCGCCCCCCTCGGGTGTCCCTGGTGGGGACCGGGGACGGGGAGGGAGGGGTGGGAAAGGGATGTGGGCCAGGGCAGGGAGGGAACACCCCTGGGAGTCCTAACCAGTCAGAGCACTCCCACTCCCCAGGCAGAGAGACAATGACATATGCCCAGGCCCAGCGCATGGTGGAGCTGGAGATCCATGGACGCATCCACCGCATCAGCATCTTTGAGAACATTGACGTCGTGTCGGAGGACGACAGCGGGGCAGAGGACCCTCCGTCCTCGGGCGGAAGTGGGGGAGGGGCGTGTAATGGGGGTGACAGCGGGGGAGGAGGGAGTGAGGTGGGGGGCAACGGCAAGGACAGGCCAGATACCCCTGCTGCTAACGGGGGTAAGGCCACACCCAAGTCTGGGAAGCACAAGAGTAAAGAGAAAAAGAAGGAGGGATCGTCGCACCACCACAGCACTTCCTCTGGCCCGGCGGTCAAACTGCCTGAGGTGGTGTACAGAGAGCTTGACCAGGAGAGGCCCGACGCTCCCACACGACACACATCCTACTACAGGTCAGTCACAGTACCACACGACACTCATCCTATTACAGGTCAGTCACAGTACCACATGACACTCATCCTATTACAGGTCAGTCACAGTACCACACGACACTCATCCCATTACAGGTCAGTCACAGTACCACACGACACTCATCCTATTACAGGTCAGTCACAGTACCACACGGCACTCATCCTATTACAGGTCAGTCACAGTACCACACGACACTCATCCTATTACAGGTCAGTTACAGTACCACACGACACACATCCTACTACAGGTCAGTCACAGTACCACACGACACTCATCCTATTACAGGTCAGTCACAGTACCACACGACACTCATCCTATTACAGGTCAGTCACAGTACCACACGGCACTCATCCTATTACAGGTCAGTCACAGTACCACACGACACTCATCCTACTACAGGTCAGTCACAGTACCACATGACACTCATCCTACTACAGGTCAGTCACAGTGCCCCACGACACTCATCCTATCACAGGTCAGTCACAGTACCACACAACACTCATCCTACTACAGGTCAGTCAGTCAGTTAGTCCTCTGTAGCTTAGTTGGTAGAGCATGGCTCTTGCAACACCAGGATAGTGGGTTCGATTCCCGGGACCACCCATACTTAAACAATGTATGCACTCATGACTGTAAGTCGCTTTGGATAAAAGCATCTGCTAAATGGCATATATTATCATATTATAGTCAGTCACAGTACCCTGCCTCAGCTGGTGGTATTGGAGGTCTCAATTTCCATACTCTCTCACTCCATTCTTCTCTGCTCTCTCTCTCCCCCCACACTTTCCTCTCCCTCAGGTACATAGATAAGTCGGTGGAGGAGCTGGATGAGGAGGTGGAGTATGACATTGATGAGGAGGACTATATCTGGCTGGACATCATGAATGACAAGCGGCGTAGTGACGGGGTGACGCCCATCCCCCAGGAAGTGTTTGAGTACCTCATGGACCGGCTGGAGAAGGAGTCCTACTTCGAGAGCCACAACAAGGTGACACACTAGATTCTCTCTCTCTCTCTCTCTCTCTCTCTCTCTCTCTCTCTCTCTCTCTCTCTCTGTCTCTCTCTCTCTGTCTCGCTCTCTCTGTGACAGCTTTTGTGTCAGTCCAGCTTTCCAGACATGTGATGTTGACTTGCTTTATCTGTCACCTTCTGTTGGGTGTGTAGTGTACTGTACTGAGTGAGCAGTAGGATGTAAAACGGCATTAGCTGTGTGAGTCTGTTCCCCTAAATAGTTATCCCCTTACTTACCCTCTGGTCCATTTTCTTCTCCCACTTTCCCCTCCTCTTCCAGACGGACCCCAGCGCCCTGATCGACGAGGACGCCGTCTGCTGCATCTGTAACGACGGCGAGTGTCAGAACAGCAACGTGATCCTGTTCTGTGACATGTGTAACCTGGCCGTGCACCAGGAGTGTTACGGCGTGCCCTACATCCCTGAGGGCCAGTGGCTGTGTCGCCGCTGCCTCCAGTCCCCCAGCCGCGCCGTCGACTGTGCCCTATGCCCCAACAAGGGTGGGGCCTTTAAACAGACGGACGACGCACGCTGGGCCCACGTGGTGTGTGCACTCTGGATCCCCGAGGTAAGAGTGTGTGTGAGGGTAGGAGTGTGTGCAACGGTAGGAGTGTGTGTGTGTGTGAGGGTAGGAGTGTGTGTGTGTGTGTGTGTGTGTGTGAGGGTAGGAGAGTGTGTGCATGCTGTGCTTGTATGTATCAACAAAGTTTTGATGCTGTGCATGTCTGTATCTAGTCTGTCCTGTTGACAGTCCTGTTGTACTGAATGTGGCTGATCTCCTCACCCCTTTCTCCCTCTCCTTCTCTCTCCCCAGGTGTGTTTTGCCAACACAGTCTTCCTGGAGCCCATCGACAGCATCGAGCACATCCCCCCGGCGCGCTGGAAGCTCACCTGCTACATCTGCAAGCAGCGCGGCTCAGGGGCCTGCATCCAGTGCCACAAGGCCAACTGCTACACAGCCTTCCACGTCACCTGTGCCCAGCAGGCCGGCCTCTACATGAAGATGGAGCCCGTCAGGGAGACCGGCGCCAACGGCACCTCATTCAGCGTCCGCAAGACCGCCTACTGCGACATCCACACCCCGCCCGGCTTAGCACGCCCCCTCGGGGGGGTGGGAGGGACTAGCATGGGCTCCTCCCACAGTGAAGGCGAGCTGGAGGAAGACGATGAGCCCAGTATAGGTCACGATGACGACACCAAGGGCTGGAGCTCAGAGCGGGCCAAGAGGGCCAAGGCCAAGTCCAGACTGAAGATGAAGAGAGCTAGGAAGATACTGGCTGAGAAGAGGAACGCCGCGCCCGTGGTGTCTGTGCCCTGTATACCCCCACACAGGTACACACTCACTCACTCTCTCTCTCATACACACACACACACACACACACACACACACACACACACACACACACACACACATACTCATACTCACTGCAGACACAAAGGCATACAGATTCAGACTTCACATACTCTCCCAGTCTCGTCAGTCCTACCATCTCCCCTGTGTGTTCCTCCCCAGGCTCAGTAAGATCACCAGTAACCTGACAGTGCCCAGGAAGAGCCAGTTTATGCAGCGACTGCACAGTTACTGGACCCTGAAGAGGCAGAGCCGGAATGGCGTCCCTCTGCTGCGCCGGCTCCAGACCCACCTGCAGTCACAGCGCAACACGGAGCAGCTACAGCCGCAGGCGCCACAGTCACAGGTTCCCACGGTAACCACCACACAGGCTCTGTCTGGTGTTGTTATCACAGCGGTAGGGAGAATACTACTGGAAGCTCTGCATGTGTTTGGACTGAAGTGTGCCGGCTTTTCAGAGAGAGAAGGAAAGAGGGAGTGTGTGCTCTGTTTATGTAAATGATAGGGTTGCATTGTCTCAGGCGATTGCTTTGTTTGATTCTGCTGTGATGTAGTGGGTGTGGTGCTGCATCCTGATGAACTGTGTAGGCTTACTGGTGTGTAACACTACCAAACTAACCAGTTTGTGTCTTTGTGTGCATTTATTTTGTGTGTGTGTGTGTATTTGTGTGTGTTACATTGCCAATCTAACATGTGTGTGTGTTGGGGCCCCAGAAGGACAGTGAGGAGAATAACTTGGCTCTGAAGGAGCAGCTGAAGGCATGGCAGAGACTGAGACATGACCTGGAGAGAGCCAGACTACTGGTGGAGCTCATCCGCAAGAGAGAGAAGCTCAAAAGGGAGACGGTGAGACACACACACACTACTCACATCCATACTTCAAGCATATCTTTGAATATTGACACACAAACACACACTTGACATCTTGCAGTTTGCACAGTGAGCAGGTGTGCTTAGAGTCTGTTCTGATGTTGATCTGTGTGTGTGTTCAGATCAAGGTGCAGCAGATGGCGCTAGAGATGCAGCTGACTCCCTTCTTGGTCCTGCTGAGGAACACACTGGAACAGCTCCAGGACAGAGACACCAGCAACTTCTTCACTGAGCCTGTCCCCCTGGCTGAGGTAACACACACACTTTTTTGGGGGAAAACTCTGACACCCCTTTGTGTTATCTCACACACACTGTGGCTGGTGGGGTTTAACCCCTAACCTCTCTCTCTCCTCAGGTGCCAGACTACCTGGACCACATCGAGAGGCCAATGGACTTCCAGACCATGTGGAACCTACTAGAGGCTCACTGCTACCTCAGCTTCGAATCCTTTGAGGCAGACTTCGGCCTCATCGTCAACAATTGCCTCAAATACAACGCCAAGGACACAGTGTTCTACCGCGCTGCTCTGCGCCTCCGGGAGATGGGTGGGGCCGTGATCAGGACCGCTCGCAGACAGGCCGAGCGAATCGGCTTGGACTATGACACAGGTATGCACCTCCCTCGAGAGCCCAGCCCGGACAGCCAGCGTGACAGAGAGAGAGACCGAGAGAGGGAGAGAGAGAGGGACAGGGACCGAGAACGAGAACGAGAGAGGGACCGAGACGGAGACAGGCCGCTGTCTTCCAATGAGGAGGGTGAGTGGCTTGGAGTCCTGTTTTATCACCAGATGTTCTACTCCCGCCTCTCCCCCTTTCTCCCTTTCCTACATTTGTACTCTTCCACTTAAGTTATTATGTTGCTGTATAGCCGTGTGGGATTCTGTAGTTGTGTTACATTTCTCTCTGTTTCTTAGACCTGCTCTTACCAGAGAACCGGCGGCGGCTGCCATTGGAGGAGCAGCTGTGTTTCCTGCAGGCGCGCTTTGATGAGGTCAACTCGGGGAAGCACAGCATTGGTCAGTCGCGGCGTGCCAAAGCCCTGAGGAAGGAGATGACTGTCATCAAGAGGAAACTTGCCCACCAGAGAGAGGGTGGCTCGGGCATGGGGGGCAGGGACTCAGGGGGCGGGGGGGACAGGGGACCATCCCTCCCCCATCACCCCTCCTCCACAGGACGCCACGACGAGGGGGAAGAGAGCAGCAGTCAGGAGATCAGTGGCAAGGGTGAGACTGAGGGGATATCTAAACTAAACTCAGTGTACATGCTCCAGTATTCATTTACAAATAGATCTCACATAGGCCTACCCATACTGTTCATGTCCAACTCTCATTATGTTAGATATATGATATACCATTTTCAGTCTCCCTGCTTCTCCCTCCTCTCTCTCCTTAGATCTAAGTGCATCATCCTCAGCTCTAGCTCCAGAGGTGGGACGTCGTACCTCTGTCCTTTTCTCCAAGAAGAACCCCAAAATGGCCGGACCCCCCAAGAGGCCGGGCCGTCCCCCTAAGAACAGAGACACGGGACACAGAGGGGCAGGGGTGAGCCCCAGTCCAATAGGTCCCCCTCAGCTGGCCCTCTTGTCTCCCCCTCGGCAGAGGAAGAGACCCCACAGCAGCTCCAGCTCCGAGAGCGACAGTGACATCGACGACCTCCTCCCGAGTAAGAGACACACACACACACACACACACAATCAAACCAATCACATACACAATCACACTAGGCCTGTAACAACATTGTCTTTTAATGGTTACGACTCTCTAAGGTCAGTCTAGTAACTGTAACGGTTACAACTCTCTAAGGTCAGTCTAGTAACTAACGGTTATGACGCTGTCTCCTAGGCCTGCCCACTAACGGTTTTGGCGGGGCCAACCAGCCGGTGACGGAGAGTTTTCGGGTGTACAGAAACGAGAGGAGCCTCCCTCGATCCAGCTCTGACTCTGAATCCACCACTAGCAGCAGCAGTAGTGCTGCCTCTGACAGAACCAGGTCATTATAATAACCACACACAGACAGACACACACAATGGTATTTATACACAGCCACATAGTCAAACACAACTACACTGTCTATGTGCACACATTGGGTTTAGGATGAATGAAGGACTCTCTTTTTGTCTCTCTCTCTCTCTCTCTCTCTCTCTGTCTCTCTCTGTGTCTGTCTCTGTGTCTCTGTCTCTCTCTCTCTCAGTACCACTCCGTCTAAGCAGGGCCGGGGGAAGCAGTCGTTCTCTCGTTCGGCCTTCCAGGAGGACAGCAGTGAGGAGACATCAGGGACAGAGAACGACTCCTACTCTGTGGGAGGGTCACGCAGCGTCTCACACTGTGAGTGACACACATACGACACACACATATAGGCATGCATGCACTTCTCCGTCATTGTCGATCTCATCTATCGCGCCACCTCTACCTCTCCTTTTCCCAAAGGGTGTGTGTTTAGGAGGTATATACAGTGCCTTCTGAAAGTATTCAGACCCCTTGACTTTTTCCACATTTTGTTAGGTTACAGCCGTATTCTAAAATGTATTACATTGTTTTTTTCCCTCATCAATCTACACACAATACCCCATAATGTCAAAGCAAAAACAGATTTGTAGAAATGTTTGCTAATTGATTATAAATAACAAAAACGTAAATATAACATTTACATAAGTATTCAGACCCTTTACTCTTACTTTATTGAAGCACCTTTGGCAGCAATTATAGCCTCGAGTCTTCTTGGGTATGACGCTACAAGCTTGGCACACCTGTATTTGGGAAGTTTCTCCCATTCTGCTCTGCAGATCCTCTCAAGCTCTGTCAGCTTGGATGGGGAACGTTGCTGCGCAACTAATTTCAGGTCTCTCCAGAGATTTTTGATCGGGTTCAAGTCTGGCTCTGGCTGGGCCACTCAAGGACATTCAGAGACTTGTCCTGAAGCCACTCCTGCGTTGTCTTGGCTGTGTGCTTAGGGTCGTTGTCCTGTTGGAAGGTGAACCTTCGCCCCAGTCTGAGGTCCTGAGCGCTCTGGAGCAGGTTTTCATCGAGGATCTCTCTGTACTTTGCTCCGTTCATCTTTTCTTCAATCCTGACTAGTCTCCCAGTCCCTGCCGCTGAAGAACACCCCCACAGCATGATGCTGCCACCACCATGCTTCACCATAGGGATGGTGCCAGGTTTCCTCCAGAAGTGACACTTGGCATTCAGGTCAAATAGTTCAATCTTGGTTTCAGCAGACCAGAGAATCTTGTTTCTCATGGTCTGAGAGTCTTTAGGTGCCTTTTGGCAAACTCCAAGCGGGCTGTCATGTGCCTTTTTCTGTCTGGCCACTCTATCATAAAGGCCTGAAAGGTTCTCCCATCTCCACAGAGGAACTCTAGAGCTCTGTCAGAGTGACCATTGGGTTCTTGATCACCTCCCTGAACAAGGCCCTTCTCCCCCGATTGCTCAGTTTGGCCGGGCGGCCAGCTCTAGGAAGAATCTTGGTGGTTCCAAATGTCTTCCATTTAAGAATGATGGAGGCCACTGTGTTCTTGGAGACCTTCAGTGCTGCAGAATATTTATGGTAACCTTCCCCAAATCTGTCTCAGAACTCTACGGACAATTCCTTCGACCTCATGGCTTGGTTTTTGCTCTGACATGCACTGTCAACTGTGGGACCTTATATAGACAGGTGTGTGCCTTTCCAAATCATGTCAAATCAATTGAATTTACCACAGGTGGACTCCAATCAAGTTGTAGAAACATCTCAAGATTGATCAATGGAAACAGGATGCACCTGAGCTAAATTTTGAGTCTCATAGCAAAGGGTCTGAATACTTATGTAAATAAGGTATTTCAGTTATTATTATTTTGTAAATTAGCAAAAATGTCTAAAAACCTGTTTTCACTTTGTCATAATGGGGTATTGTGTGTATATTTCTGAGGATTATAATTGTTTTAGTCCATTTTAGAATAAGGCTGTAACGTAACAAAATGTGGAAAAAGTCAAGGGGTCTCAATACTTTCTGAAGGCATTGTATGTGTGTGATTCTGATGTATTGTGTGTTTCTCTCAGTAGGGTGGGGCCGGGGCCGATCAGGTTGTAGGACGCCATCAGATGACTACTCTTCCCTTGACGCTCTGGACCTGGTGTGGGCCAAATGTAGAGGCTATCCTTCATATCCTGCTCTGGTAATCCAGCCATGGATGGACACACACACACATTAGGATAAACTATGGTTGAAATGTCCATTCGGCCACAAGTTGCTAGTATCTCATACCAACCCATACCATAAAAGTTAAAACTATTGTATTTACCCGTCCTGTACCCTCCCTCTAACCCTCCCCCTCACCCCTGTAGATCATAGATCCTAAGATGCCCAGGGAGGGGGTATTCCACAGAGGGGTTCCTATCCCCGTGCCCCCCCTGGACGTCCTGAAGTTGGGGGAGCAGATGACCCAAGAGGCCCGGGAACACCTCTTCCTGGTACTCTTTTTCGACAACAAGAGAACCTGGTCAGTACACTGTCTGTCTCACTCTGTCTGTCTGTCTCTGTCTCTGTCCTCTGTGTTTGTCTTTCTCTGCTCCTCGCTCTCTCTTCCCCCTCTCTCTCTCTCTCTCTCTCTCTCTCTCTCTCTCTCTCTCTCTCTCGCTCTCTCTTTCTCTCTCCTTTCCTCTCTCTCTCCTTTCCTCTCTCTCTCTCTCTCTCTCTCTCTCTCTCTTTGTTCCCACTCATTTTCATATTTCCCCCCTTCTCTCTCCCATGTGAACCTCTATCCCTCTCACACTCTGGTAGAGAAGTGTTGATTTGAAGGCCTCCCCAGTGGAGGCAGCGGAGAACCCAGAATCAGAGTGTAGCAGCAAACCTCCGTCTGTAGTCAACAACGTGCAGCTCAGCAGCATTACATCAGTTCAGAAGGCTGTCTGCACGTAGTACAATAGCAAAGGAAACTGTTATTTACATAGAAATGCAAGAAAGAAAAGAAAAGCCATCGCTCGCTAGCAGAAGTGGGTCAGGAGTGATTGAAGAGGACGCTCTGAAAGAGAACAAAGAGAGAGAAAATACACTTTGTTTTAGGTCACAACACACGATACAACTCACAACAGTTGCTGCTGCACTGTGGATGTGGGTGGATAATAATGACCTGTGTGAGAAAGTGGATCTAACCCTGTATGTCCCTGTGTTTTTTAAAACCGTGTCTCTGTGTGTGTTTCTGACCCTGTGTCTCTGTGTGTGTTTCTGACCCTGTGTCTCTGTGTGTGTTTCTGACCCTGTGTCTCTGTGTGTGTTTCCGACCCTGTGTCTCTGTGTGTGTTTCCGACCCTGTGTCTCTGTGTGTGTTTCTGACCCTGTGTCTCTGTGTGTGTTTCTGACCCTGTGTCTCTGTGTGTGTTTCTGACCCTGTGTCTCTGTGTGTATTTCTGACCCTGTGTCTCTGTGTGTGTTTCTGACCCTGTGTCTCTGTGTGTGTTTCTGACCCTGTGTCTCTGTGTGTGTTTCTGACCCTGTGTCTCTGTGTGTATTTCTGACCCTGTGTCTCTATGTGTATTTCTGACCCTGTGTCTCTGTGTGTGTTTCTGACCCTGTGTTTCTGACCCTGTGTTTCTGACCCTGTGTTTCTGACCCTGTGTCTCTGTGTGTGTTTCTGACCCTGTGTCTCTGTTTGTGTTTCTGACCCTGTGTCTCTGTGTGTATTTCTGACCTTGTGTCTCTGTGTGTGTTTCTGACCCTGTGTTTCTGACCCTGTGTCTCTGTGTGTGTTTCTGACCCTGTGTCTCTGTGTGTGTTTCTGACCCTGTGTTTCTAACCCTGTGTCTCTGTGTGTGTTTCTAACCCTGTGTTTCTGACCCTGTGTCTCTGTGTGTGTTTCTGACCCTGTGTCTCTGTGTGTGTTTCTGACCCTGTGTCTCTGTGTGTGTTTCTAACCCTGTGTCTCTGTGTGTGTTTCTAACCCTGTGTTTCTGACCCTGTGTCTCTGTGTGTGTTTCTGACCCTGTGTCTCTGTGTGTGTTTCTGACCCTGTGTCTCTGTGTGTGTTTCTGACCCTGTGTCTCTGTGTGTGTTTCTGACCCTGTGTCTCTGTGTGTGTTTCTAACCCTGTGTCTCTGTGTGTGTTTCTAACCCTGTGTCTCTGTGTGTGTTTCTGACCCTGTGTCTCTGTGTGTGTTTCTGACCCTGTGTCTCTGTGTGTGTTTCTGACCCTGTGTTTCTGTGTGTGTTTCTGACCCTGTGTCTCTGTGTGTGTTTCTAACCCTGTGTCTCTGTGTTTGTTTCTAACCCTGTGTCTCTGTCTGTATGTCTGTCTGTCTGTAGGCAGTGGCTGCCGCGTTCTAAGCTGGTTCCTCTGGGGGTGGACCGGGAGCTGGACAAGGAGAAAATGCTGGAGGGAAGGAAGTCCAACATCCGCAAGTCAGTGCAGGTGGCCTACCACCGTGCCATGCAGCACCGCAACAAGGTCCAGGGAGACCCCAGTAGCGACACCAGCGACAGCGACTGAGCACACGCACCCACATGCACAGGATGCACACACAGGCTGCACACTCCCGCAGATATGCCGAACACACACACATAGACAGACACACAAACCAACACGTCTTTGCTGGCCAACCCCTCGTATTGATAGGGTATTGGTTTCAGATCTGTGGCCTTGGAGAGCCTAGCACCCAGCACGTAGGAGAATATGCCAGTAGTACCTATTGGAAAGCACATGCAACACCCTCTCTCCAACACACACACACATTGTTGGCACACACAGTGGTATTTAATCTGAGATGTAAAATATGTATTTAAGAGAATTGAAACAAAAAGGGTATTAAGAAAAAATTATATTCCCGGCATCATGATTGAGAATTGTCCTTGCATATGGTTGATATGAGTGTTTACCAGCGACTGAAGAACATGGTCTGCAGAAGGTCGTATAACACAAATATGCACATACACACACATATACATTCAAACAGGGAAATGCATATACACACACAAAGCTCTTCTCACAGGAAAATATGCACACACACACATCCACACACCACATGGTGTGCACTTATGTTTCCACAGTATCACTGGTCCAACACCCCCTCTACGCAACTCCCCCTGCAGCCCCCTCGGATCCCCGTGTCCAATCACGGCTTAGTGGAGCACGGGGTCGGACGGTATTGGGCAATCGACTGTGAGCAAAGCAGCTTCCTCTGTTATTTATTCCGTCTCCCAAGGACCTCCAGTCTTCTTCTATCTAGTCTGATGGACCGTCTCCACAACATTGCATTTTGCAGTCGTTTCCTCTACTCTTCTGTATGTGTTTATTTGGTCTGTTTGTACTATTCTGGCCGCTGGTGAATAATGAAGACTAATGTAAATGTGATGAGAAACACACGCCAGCCTCACTGTCTGTTCTAGTCTCGGGCCAATGGCTTTAGAATTTTTATATATACAGATTACATGAAATAGAAATTTAATAAAATAATTGAGTTTTGTACACCATGGTCCTGGTCAACTCTCTTTTGCCTGTGTTTGTGCATCTGTGTTTGTCAGTGTGTGTGTGTGTACAACATTGCTGCCTTTCCCTGTTAAGTTCAAAGGTTCTCTCAGTCAAAATATTTTTGCAGAGATGATATCTAATCACAATGAATTACATGAGTACATAGCTCAGTGCCTGGACTTGTTGCTCAACCTTCATTTCCCAGTTGTGAGCAGGAAGTTATGTGGAATACCCCTGTGTGTTCTAAGGAAGCCCTGTTCTGCCTTTCAACCAGGATGAATCATGAGTGAGTGTATTTAGTTACCGCCATAACTGGGAGAAACGGCTCAATATCAGTATAACTTTACCTACACTACCAGTCAAAAGTTTGGACACACCTACTCATTCCATGGTTTTTCTTTATTTTTACTATTTTCTATATTGTAGAATAATAGTGAAGACCTCAAAACTATGAAATAACATATGGAATCATGTAGTTACCAAAAAAGTGTTAAACAAATCAAAATATATTTTATATTTGAGATTCTTCAAAGTAGCCACCCTTTGCCTTGATGACAGCTTTGCACACTTGGCATTCTCTCAAACAGCTTCATGAGGTAGTCACATGGAATGCAGTTCAATTAACAGGGGTGCCTTGTTAAAAGTTAATTTGTGGAATTTATTTCCTTCTTAATGCATTTGAGCCTATCAGTTCTGTTTTGACAAGGTAGGGGTGGTATCCAGAAGATAGCCCTATTTGGTAAAGACCAAGTCCATATTATGGCAAGAACAGCTCAAATAAGCAAAGAGAAATGACAGTCCATCATTACTTTAAAACATGAAGGTCAGACAATCTGGAACATTTCAAGAACTTTTAACGTTTCTTCAAGTGCAGTCGCAAAAACCATCAAGCGCTATGATGAAACTGGCTCTCATGAGGACCGCCACAGGAAAGGAAGACCCAGAGTTACCTATGCTGCAGAGGATAAGTTCATTAGAGTTACCAGCCTCAGAAATTGCAGACCAAATAAATGCTTCACAGAGTTCAAGTAACAGACACATCTCAACATAAACTGTTCAGAGGAGACTGCATGAATCAGGCCTTCATGGTCGAATTGCTGCAAAGAAACCACTACTATAGTCCACCAATAAGAAGAGACTTGCTTGGGCCAAGAAACACGAGCAATGGACCTTAGACCAGTGGAAATCTGTCCTTTGGTCTGATGAGTCCAAATTTGAGATTTTTGGTTCCAACCGCCGTGTCTTTGTGAGATGCGGAGTAGGTGAGTGGATGATCTCCGCATGTGTGGTTCCCACCGTAAAGCACGGAGGAGGTGTGATGGTGTGGGGGTGCTTTGCTGGTGACACTGTCTGTGATTTATTTAGAATTCAAGGCACACTTAACCAGCATGGCTACCACAGCATTCTGCAGCGATACGCCATCCCATCTGGTTTGCGCTTAGTGGGACTATCATTTTTTTTTCAACAGGACAATGACCCAACACACCTCCAGGCTGTGTAAGGGCTATTTGACCAAGAAGGAGAGTGATGGAGTGCTGTATCAGATGACCTGGCCTTCACAATCACCCGACCTCAACCCAATTGAGATGGTTTGGGATGAGTTGGACCGCAGAGTGAAGGAAAAGCAGCCAACAAGTGCTCAGCATATGTAGGAAATCCTTCAAGAATGTTGGAAAAACATTCCAGGTGAAGCTGGTTGAGAGAATGCCAAGAGTGTGCGAAGCTTTCATCAAGGCAAAGGGTGGCTACTTTGAAGAATCTAAAATAAAAAATATATTTTGATTTGTTTAACACTTTTTTAGTTACTACATGATTCCATATGTGTAAAAATGCATAATTTCAATAGATATCCTTACATGATATGTAATATTCATATATATATTTTTTTTGTCATTTAGCAGACGCTCTTATCCAGAGCGACTGCATACATTTTTTCCATACTGGCCCCCCGTGGGAATCGAACCCAAAACCCTGGCGTTGCAAGCACCATGCTCTACCAACTGAGCTACACAGGACCATTCATCCTCGTATATCAGATCCGACTCATGATCAATGTCCAGCGCACAAATTATTTTACCTATTCAGGCACCGAAAATCTTTGCACTTCTTCATATGAAGGTGACATATCTGAGCATACATTTGCACGATATTCAGTAGTAGGCTACAAGGCACGCAAAGGCAAACATCGTCATCACAACACCAATCACAACACGTTTTCTTTAACCTCTACGGGATCGGTGTCCATTACATGGGATGGTTGAGCTAAAGTGCGCTAATGTGATTAGCATGACTGATGTAAGTAACAGCAAACTTTCCAGGACATAGACATGTCTTAAATTATTGTTAATCTAACTGCACTGCCCAATTTACAGTACCTATTACAGTGAAAAAAGACCATGCTATTGTTTGAGGAGAGTGCACAACAACAAAAAACTTATCACGGCAACTGGTTTTCACCTCTGAAGGTAAATAATGTACTTACATTCAGTAATCTTGCTCTGATTTGTCATCCTAAGGGTCCCAGAGATAAAATGTAGCATAGTTTTGTTTGATAAAATCAATTTTTATATTCAAATGTAGGAACTGGGTTCTACAGTTTGAACCCCTGCTGTCTCTGGCTCCACACCCACCCTGCCCGGCCATCTAGATGTGTGTTAGTGTATAAGCTAATGATCCATCATGTATGACATTCCTGGGAGTGTGTAAACTTACATTTTGTATTACCATATCATTTTTGTATGTTCTCTATAGTTATGTACTTGAAAATGTATCAATTGACCAATTCGGCACATTTGGGCGGACTTGATACAAAATAGTCCAGTATTGCAATGCTTCACTGGATCAATCTGAAACTTTGCACACACACTGCTGCCATCTAGTGGCCAAAATCTAAATTGCGCCTAAACTGCAATATTATATTGTGGCCTTTCTCTTGCATTTAAAATATGACGAAAAATATAAATAAAAACAAAATGCATGTTTTTTTGTTTGTATTATCTTTTACCAGATCTAATGTGTTATATTCTCCTACATTAATTTTACATTTCCACAAACTTCGAAGTGTTTCCTTTCAAATGGTATCAAGAATATGCATATCCTTGCTTCAGGTCCTGAGCTACAGGCAGTTAGATTTGGGTATGTCATTTTAGGCGAAATTGGAAAAAAAGGGTTAAACCCTTATGAGGTTAAAGATTCAAAGGTAGGCCAATCTTTGGTAAACATTTATTTTATTTATATTGAACAAAAATATAAACGAAACATGCAACAATTTAAACGATTTTACTGAGTTACAGTTCATCTAAGGAAATCAGTCAATGGAAATTAATTAATTAGGCCCTACCTAATCTAGGGATTTCACATGACTGGGCAGGGGCGTAGCCATGGGTGGGCCTGGGAGGGCATAGGCCCACCCACTTGGGAGCAAGGCCCACCCACTGGGAATCCAGGCCCAGCCAATCAGAATGAGTTTTTCCCCACGAAAGGGCTTTATTACAGACAGAAATACTCCTCCGTTTCATCAGCTGTCCGGGTGGCTGGTCTCAGATGATCCCACAGGTGAAGAAGCCAGATGTCGAGGTCCTGGGCTACCGTGGCTACACGTGGTCTGCGGTTGTGAGGCCGGTTGGACGTACTGCCAAATTCTCTAAAACAACGTTGGAGGCGGCTTATGGTAGATAAATTAACATTAAATTTTCTGGCAACAGCTCTGGTGGACATTCCTGCGGTCAGCATGCCAATTGCACACTCCCTCAAAACTTGAGACATCTGTGGCATTGTGTTGTGTGACAAAACTGCACATTTTAGAGTGGCCTTTTATTGTCCCCAGCACAAGGTGCACCTGTGTAATGATCATGCTGTTTAATTAGCTTCTTGATATGCCACAGCTGTCAGGTGGATGGATTATCTTGGCAAAGGAGAAATGCTCACTAACAGGGATGTAAACAAATTTGTGCACAACATTTGAGAGAAATAAGCTTTTTGTCCGTATGGAAAGTTTCTGGGATCTTTTATTTCAGCTCATGAAACATGGGACCAACACTTTACACGTTGCGTTAATATTTTTGTTCAGTATATTTAACAGAAAATAAAAGTTGCACACCCTCAATACCCCTGCCTGCCCTGTTTGTTATGGTCGATGGATGCAGATTGGGTCGTCACTTCAGCGGTGGTCCCTCGCAGTCCAGACCCAACATAGTGGTAGTGTTGGTCTGTGATCCACTCCAAACTGTCAATGCATAAATCATGAATAATTTCACGTAACCATACCACAAGGTAGCTACTCTACCTGTTTCATTCATGACGAGAAAACTATCTGGAACAAGCTAGCTAGCTAGCCAAGTTA